AAAAAGCAGGTGTATCAACCTTAAACAATATGTGTTGTACGCTTCACAGTGGACGTTAAAGATCCCCGTGACGTCAGTCGCAAGACGAGGTCATCATCGTGTGCTGGCGTCATGGTTCAAATCCGACATTGAACTCGCAAATTACTCATTTGAACTTAACTGCATTCTTATTTTAGCAGGTAAAGCCCACTGAGCTATGTAGCTCTTTTTCAGAAGCGACATAGCCACAATGATAGCTCAACGAAGTGGCTTATCATTTTGGCAATTCGTGGCAACCAAACACTCTGAACTCCCTGACGTTGATTCTAAATGTGGAGGGGGGGGGAAACCGGAGGACCCAGAGAAAAATCCACGCGACCACGGGGAGAACACGCAAAAACCCCTGTATGCCTGACACGAACCCACGACCTCCTGTATCACAGGCGAAGGAGATAACATCTCACCACCTTGGCGCGCTTTTGGAATCGACTTGGCAATCGTGACCCCTCCCCCCCCACTGCGAAAACTTGGCAGGGCCCTCGTGTAAAAGAGATTTCCTCGGCCGACAAGATTCGGAGCAGCTACTCGTAATTCTTTGTTTTTGAGAGCCACAACCGTTCCGCTGGGGGGCCTCCGAGTCCTTTGCACGCGATAAGCAACTTGCATCAACATCTCAAGGGCACTCCCAGCGGCAGCTGTTCCTGTGTGGCGCAAGGTGGCTCCGCACCTGGCCTGCAAGTTTCGCGGGAATGTACCAGTAGGTGGCGATGCTGATGTATGTAATCCCAATCGAGTAATTGGCAGGTATTTTGTTGTTGTTGTTGCTGCAAATATGCAGCAGTGCACAATGGCGTGCTCAAAATTTTGATTGAAAGCTTTCGTGACTGCAGTAATTCATATTCTTAGCTCTTTCGGTAAAGTCACGTTGAAGGGAAACAATAAAATAATAAAATGTATATGAAACAATAAAAATTCTCACGGCGTTTCGACCATAACACAAACGGTCGTCACCGACACACCTGATGACGACTGTTTGTGTTATGGTCGAAACGTCGTGAGAATTTTTATTGTTTTATATATTTTTTATTATTTTATTGTTTCCCTTCAACGTGACTTTACCGAAAGAGCTAAGAAAAATGGCGTGCTCGTTAAAGTGCGAGTCCTGTGTTTTTGTCTACAGTGTTCGGTAGCGGTTAGCGCGCCGCGCTCCCAACCTGGAGGCCCGAGTTCGATTCCCTCTCACGGACAACACCGGCGACGATTATCTGAACCGGTCCTGGGCCTCCCCTAGGTCGACTCGGCCTCAAATGAGTACCTGGTGCGGTGTGTAGTAAACATCGCCACTAGGGAGACAAAGGCGGCCGAACGTGGTGCTGTCCAAGGCCCCACCCTCTTGTGTGCCGTTCTGGCCTTCGTAGGTGCTCGCTAGCTGCACTTGCCCCAACACCCCGTTAAGGCTATACGGGACATCTTTGCCTTTGTTTATACAGTATGTCCTTCAAATACCTGGCTAATTCAGGGATGGGGTGCCCTGGTTGATCAGTTTTCTTAACTGAACCCCGTTATTTACATGAAGACCAACGTGTTTGCCCATTTACATCTGATGACGACTGTTTGTGTTATGGTCGAAACGTCGTGAGAATTTTTATTGTTTTATATATATTTTATTGTTTCCCTTCAACGTGACTTTACCGAAAGAGCTAAGAACATAATTTACATGTTATTATGTTTTTTTAAATATTTACTTTTAGAAATGGGGAAAAAATACACAGTACATATAAATATACAAACGTACAAAAACACTGAACCCAACACAAATAATTTGCTACGGCTTGGCGGGAGATCCTCATCCAGCAGTGGATTTCAAAAGTGCAGCGCTTGTGCAATGGTTGCTTGCAGGCAACAGTTTTATAAGGCTACACTGGAGTCTTGTACTTGTCTCCGTGTGCATGTAGTGGGAACGCTAAGTGCAGTGGTTAAATGCATTGCACTAAAACACCCACCACCGCCTGCTACCCGAGTTCGATTTCCGCTCACGGCCAACATCTGTGGCGAAAATTTAATCCGATCCTCTGCCTCCCCGAGGATGACTTGGCCTTAACGGGGAGTACTGGTGCAGTGCATAATCATCAGCACTAGGGAGACAAAGGCGGCTGGGCCTATTGCTGGCCACACCACCCCCATGCTGTGTGCCGTGCTCGTCTTCATAGGTGCTTGCTAACAGCACTTTACCCAATGGTCTGTGTAGGCTACACGGGGGTCTTTTGTATTTGGTACGTGTGTGTGGTTAAGAGGAGCGTTAGGTGTGCTTGTGCTAATACTAGGCAGGGGGGGGGTGTGGAATGAGATAAGGCGAGGTAGATGGAGCGGTTGAGAACGAGAGCGAAAGTAATATAATTCGAGAGGTAGGGATAGGGGGAAGGGAGGGAGGAGAAATGTTAGAGGTGGTGTGAGGAGAGAGAGAGACCGGGCCAGATAGAGGAGGAGACGAGGAAGCAGGGGGAAATAAATAACAAAATAATTGTCGGCACTTCTAGATTTGACGCTTTCGTGACTGTGTTGTGGCCGAAACGCCGTGATTTTTGTTGTTTTATTTTTTACCTGCGTGACTTTACCGAATAGAACCAAAGAGTAATTGTCGGCATTTTAAAAAAAGTCTTATTAAGGAAGAGGGCATAATTTTCAAAAAATGTGTTCGTTTCAGTCTCGTATTGATTATCATTTTGTCTTGGAAAAGTGGCTTAAAACCTGGCCTCCTGGAGGCGATTCGCAATCGAGACGCCAAATTATAAAAACCCATTTCCTGTACAGATTAATTATGAGTATTGCGAGGTTCTTCATTGGGACATTGGGAATTTAGGCGTTTGAATTGCATTTTTTTTACGTTAATGTTTATACTTTGGGGATGCATATTTGATACATGCCAATTCCTATGCACAGTACTGCATGCATGTTGAACTTCTTTTGCACCATACGTACAATACAGTCATGTATTGTTTTAATCTTCTTCCTCGGCTTAGTTTTTCGTCTTTGAACGTTTGATCTCCACTTTTTAGTCCCATGTGTTTTTAATTTCAATGTTTAATTTTAACTTAAATCTTCAGTTCCCGTTTTGCTTCAAAGTTTTATCCTTTGTTTTTATTTCGTTTGCTGTCCTCTCGACGGTAACCCAGCATTCCACCCCTACAGGATTCATAATTGACCCTACCATAGCAATGTGGATTTTCCACCACTGGTTCAAGGCTGCCAACAAATCCCGCCTGCTCTTGTTTCATCTCGGATACGCTTGGACTTTTTTTATCAGGAAATCTTCATTATATGTACAACCCTTTTTGCTGGATGTGTGCATGTGTTTATGTTGAACTTCTTTCGCGCCATACGTAGCCAACCGTGCTTAATCAGAGGTGTGCAGTGTTGAGTCTGCCGGTAGTGTTGAGTCTAGTCTATGGGGAGTGTTAGTCTATGGGCAGTATGTATGTCGGTTGAACTTTTGTACCGTACGTAGCCAACCATGCTAATCAAATGAGAGCCCCCCCCCCCACGTCACGTCATGTGGGTCATGATGGCTGTTTCACCATACTTCGCGCTACAGTCAGAATGTAGAATTTATGCAACTGGTTTGGTACCACTCGTAAAAGATTAACTAACCCATATTTATTTGAGCATGGAAACTATGACTTTGAATAATTTGTAGGTAACTTTTAGCATTGGGATATTTGGCCTAAGACCAGTTACATTGTGTATATATTTTAGCTATTGGAGGAACCTGAGTACCTGGAGGAAACCCCATGCAGAACAGGGGGGAGAACATACAAACTCCACGCAGATTGGCACCCGAGTCAAGAATAAAATCCAAGGCACGAGTGTTACCACTGCGCTCACCCACCCTCTCCTACCCATGTTGATGGAAATGTTTGTGGCTTTTCAGCATGTCCGGTAAAAAAAAAAATGTGTGGTAGGAAACCGGCAAGCCACTTTCCATATCGGCCCAGACCCCACTGTAAATCAGCACTGACCTTCCGATTAATATTGCAGTGCCATTTGCATCGGTGGCCGGGCTGAGAAAAGTCAATTCGCTGCAGGCAATAATCTGGTTTAATCTAAAAAAAAAAGCTGCCTGGGAATTAAACCCGGCATTCTTGTGATTCTAGTGGCAATATTTGTTGGAATGGATGGACGTACCCACGCTTTCTCACCAAATTGCTACCGCCAATCAGCCAATTTGGTGTAGAATTTAAGAAATATTCACCGTTGTTTCAACTGCTGTGCCAGAACACGGATTTGAACTTTTGCAACCTTTAGCTTGCAAGTTGCTTGTGCTAATAATTATTACACTACAGCAGCTGCATAGTAATACTGAACTGGTTAGATAATTATTCATTCACAGAAATTTCCAAGATTTGAACTTCTGCCCACGCTGCTTCGTGGCTTTGTGAGCTGCCTCTGCGTATAAATGTAGCCGCAGAAATGAGCCCCAAAGCCTACAGGGCACAGGCACTGGACTGTGGCATTAAACCAAAATTATGGCTGGAGTCTGGGTAAATTCAGTGATTCAGACATAAGCATGAATTCAAATGAAGAGAAGCAGGAGGGAGTGGGTGTATGTGACAGTAGCGGACGCGCTTGTGTGTGTGTGTGTGTATACGTGCATCGTTGTGTGTGTGTGTATATACGTGCATGGTAATGTGTGTGCATTGAGTGTGGTGTGTGTGGAGAGCGGCCGTGTAGTGGTTCGCGCGCTGCGCTACAAATCCAACGACTCGCGGCCAACACCAGTGACGGTTATCTGAACCGATCCTGGGCCTTCCCTAGGTCAACTCTGCCTCAAATGAGTATCTGTTGCGATGTGTAAAAACATTGCCACGGTCGGAGACAAAGGCGGCCGGGCGTGGCGCTGGCCCCCCCCATTGCTCACGTGTGCCGTTCCGGCCTTCATAGGTCGCTCACTAACGATACTTGCCTTAACAGTCTGTCAAGGCTACACGGCGGGGGGGGGGGTCTTTGTCTTTGTCTCTGTGTAGGTGGAGGCCATGAAGGGTGTTGTGGAGGAGCTGAAGATGCGCATCGTGGAGATGACGGACGAGAGCGCGTGTCTTGACGGAGGAGATGTCCTCTTCACTGGTAACCGCTTCACTCGGGTCGCCCAATGCTGCCTGTCGTCAATGCACTGGGATGGGGTGGGACACCAAGGTGGCTAGGAGATGTTAACTGCCTCGCCTGGTATACAGGAGGTCACGGGTTCGATCCCGACCCTTACGCCTGCTGTATATTTGGAGTTTGCGTGTTCTCCCTGTGGTGGCGTGGATTTTTCTCCCAGGTCCTTCGGTTTTTACCTCTGCATTAAAAAAAAAACATTCGTTTTGAGTATTTGTCTGCGACAAATTTCCAAGTGATAAGCCACTTTATTGAGCTGTCAGTTGTGGCCAGGGCACTTCTGAAAAAGAGCTATGTAGTTTAGTGGGCCTTACCTGGTAAAATAAACAGTTTAGTTTATTTTCATTTTGTTAGCAACGCCCACGTTATTCCCATTTTCAAAATAAAATCATTGGGCCTAGGTACCACATTTTATTATACACAAACAGTTTATTTTACATTTTGGATTTATCTAAATGTGACATCACAGCAAGTGTGACGCCACTGAATGCCATGTTATATGTGTCATATACATATCGGCATTGCATTCTTAGAAAAATACATACAAACGGGGATAAAAGTACAAGTGCAGACCTTTTTCAATCCACTGCTGGATGAGGGCTGACCCACTTAATGCGAGTCGTGGGTGATTATTTGACGTTACTGCGCCACGTTGCCCAATGCTGCTTGATCAAAGAAAGGGGTTTCCAGGCATCGGTGAAGATGTTACTCGCCACTAATCGTTAACCGCGCCAGGCTAGGTGTACACCTTAAGGAAGCCGCGTTAATTTTTTGTCGATGGCTGGCTGGCTGGCTGTCTGGCAGAAGAAGGTCAAGGAACAGAGAACCCAGGTGTTCATATTCTCGCCCACTGACAGAGAAACCCAGGTGTTATGAGATAATTGATTTGAGATGACTGGCAGATGCAGCACCTGCGCTCCCCACTGCCAACCAAAACACAGATTTATATGTAGACAGAGATAAAGATCTGCCATATAGCCTTAAAGACTGTTGGGGCAAGTGCTGTTAGCGAGCACCAATGAAGGCCGGCACGGCACACAAGGGGGTGGGTGGCCAGCACCACATTGCGGCCGCTTTTGTCTCCCCAGTGGCGATGTTTACACAGCGCACCAGGTACTAATTTTAGGCTTAGTCGACCTAGGGGAGGCCCAAATAATAGTCACTGGTGTTGGCTGTGAGTGGGAATCAAACTCGGGTCACTGGGTTCGTAGCGCAGCGCGCGAACCACTACACTACCGCTGTGTGTGTAAAGACGGACGCGCGCACACACACACACTACCCAATGCTTTATTACTTCAATAAAATGAAGGACATTATGACTTGTATACATTACACATTTGATTGCGATGATGCAATTCAACTTCAAATAGTCTAAAACTGGTTGTTGCTACATTCTACGCAGTTTCCAAGCAAAACTGTATACACGGGCGTGTGTAAAATAATAGCAGCAGTGGCATGTGCAGGTATGAAATTAAAGTATATTGCACGTTTAGGAATTTAGACACGGGGCGTTTAATGTTAGGCGTCGGCAGTGATTACCCATAAGCGGAGCAGAAAGGTGAAGCGTGCATTAGGACTTGAATTTTGGGGGGGCGGGGTGGGGGAGTCTGAGCTACGGATAGATGGTAAAGGTGGAGCCCTGCAATTAACTTGCTCTGGATCTGAATCGAGAATCTAAGCGGGGTGTCGCTTCCGTGCTCTGACATCCGTATGCACGTACGTATGTTGAACTTCTTTCGCACTGTACGTAGCCAACCGTACTAATCGGACACATTAGTGCCCCCCCCCCCCCACACACCCCACCCATCAGGATCGCTATTGAGCGCTTTGTTGTGGAGGAACCACCCAGGCAGTATTTCAAGAATGTAAAGTTGTATTGATGAACACCAGTCCTTACCTTTTATGAGGCATGCAATTCGTATACGCTGTACGTCAGGGGTTCACGGACACCCCGCGGCCACTGTAGATTCTACGTTGATCATAAGAGCACGACTTTTTATTTTCAATGTATTTTGATGAAGATTGCGTCGTCGTGAAATACCGGCGAAGGGAGCGAATCGTTACATCGCAAATAATCTTCTTCCATGTCCCCTTGGCATTTTCGGCCCGATCCGTTTTTCTTCGCCCTCGGTCTAATCGCCGTACTTTCTCCACTTGTCGCTGTCCGTCACCGGCATCGTCCAACTGAGACGGTTTCCGTCACGTCCAGTGGTTTGATGCTTGACGCTCTCACGGATCATGGTCTTCTTCTTTTTCCCCAAGCACCTCCCCAGCGTGTCCTCTCCATTATCGCGATTTGGCAGCCGGTCACCAGTCTTTGTGTCACATGTCCGCAGTTTTGACAGTTTCCTGTACTAGGCCTGACTTGGTAATCTTGATTATTTGTCTGTGTATATTGTTGCCGGGGCTTCCTTCTTCGTCGCATTATCCTTCATAAAAAAAACAACACATTTTTGAGTCTCCTGTCCTAATAAAAGAACGCTTTTCCTAGCATCTTCAGCAGGGGATTATAATCGTCAACTCGATCTTTAAAGTGACTGGGGGGGTGGGGAAATTGATGTCTAGCTCGGTGGCAGAGTGTGAGTGGCTTGCAATCCAAATGTTGAGTTCACATCCTGATAGCGGTTGACGCGGCCCATCATCCATCTTTGATAAATAAAATAATAACACTTAATGAGGTCAAGAGTGTGGATGTCCGATGCACATACTCTCCCCCCACCATCGGAATGTGGAATCTTCACCACGGGCCGAGGGCTGTAAATCTGACATGAGCACAGCCTGAATGCTCAGTTGAGCAGAAAAAGTACTTTTGACTTTTTGACAGTTAACCAATTCAGTACCCAAACTTCTAAGAAGAACTAAAGAATGGCAAATTACATTGCAAATGTGCCGAGACTTCTGTAAGAACACGACCGCACACAAAGCTTCAGAGTAAAAGCAGCGCGATCAAGACCAAGTTTTCGTGAGGGGGTGGGGTGTGGTCGTATTTTCCTTCTTTTTTTTTTTTGGGCCCGTCAAATTAAGCCTTCGAAAAATCTCCATGACCTTTTTCGCCAATTCTTTCGCGTTGTTAAAATATAAGCTCGCAAATCGCTCGCCCTAAACCCTCGCAGTTTGAGTGGCTTCTGTCTGTATAGCGCTTTAATCTAGGACCCACCGATTTACGATCCTTCTTAACGTGCGCAAGGTGCTATCAGATTTCATTTCGTTGGCAAGCCGTCGAGAAATTTAGAAACTCTGCATTTTATTTTTAGGTCGCTTTGCTATTAGATAGAGCGTACGAGTGTGCGCACACATTCCTGCCCTGCCTAATACAGAAACCAACACCTCCTCCTCCTTGAGCACAGACGAACACGAGGCCACTACGTGTCATAATCCCGATCTCGATCGAGACTCGGCTCTAGGTGATTTTGGTTGAACTTCCACTCGGTGGTTTATTCAGGCCATCATCATTCCTCCTGCATCAGGTAAAGTGGTGAGTACCACTTTGTAGGACGTCAACAGTGGATGTCTTATGGAATGGACTAATCCCCTGCCCGTAGGAATTTAGAATCCCCAACCAAGGGAGGGTGATCTTCGTTAGAGCAGGGAGATCCTTTTTGACTTGACATGACCGCAGTGAATTTTGATTTAAAGCTTTCGTGACTGCAGGGATTCATATTCTTGGTTCTTTCGGTAAAGTCACGTAGAAGGGAAACAATACAATTATAAATAAATAAAAACATTTTTTTATTTATTTTCTTGCTGTGGTTTTCACACCTGATGATTGCTTGTGTTGCAGTCGAAACGTCGTGAGAATTTTATTGTTTTATGCATTATTTATTAATTATTTTATTGTGTCCCTTCTACGTGACTTTACCGAAAGAACCAAGAATATGACCGCAGTGGTTAAGGTTATTGGTTCACCACACCTGACCGAGCGAAGGTAAAGATTCCGTTTTGACTTCAGCAAACCATCAGCTGCATGCCTGAGCATGCTTGGAATCGCACTGGGGAGGCGGGTAAGATGAACACGTGGATTCGGCGAACAGTTTGGCTTGAGAAAGGTGAGCGGGGCTTGGGCTGAAGAGGTTGGTTGGCCGATGGTCGTGAGCTTTAGTGGAGATGGAGCGACATAAATCGGCATGTGCATGGGAGCCAAAATTGATTGTTAAGTTTCAGGATTGTGAGAGGTCAGAATCAAAATATCGATGTATGACTGGAGTGTGATATGAAGCTCTCTTTCACACATCCAGTGGGGGCTACGGGTTGGAGGCTTTCATCCAGCAGTGGATGGATGACCTAAATGATGAGGATTATGATGATGAAGCATCGACCAAGGCGCGTCAGTCACTTTCAGAAGAAGAAAATAATAATATAAAATGGAACACTTTTTTTGCTGTAGTTATATTTAAAAAAGCGTCTTTTGAATGCAAATGTGCCCGTGGTCACATACACACACAAAAACAAGCGCACGTTAAAGGGCAGCTATTTGAAACATCCCTGGATTTGCGGGATCGTGTGAATTGGGCCGGCGTTTGCAGTGGCAGCTAAAAAAAAAAATCACACCTACTAGCCCCGGGGGTGCTAGTAGAGCACTTCATTTTACTTCATTTTTTTAGTTAAAAGCGGGGCCCCTCCTTCTAAGCCACCCGGGTGGCGCTGTGGCCAGGAATGCTTCAACTCGGCAATCGGAACGGTCGCGAGTGAAATTTCCCAGAGGTCAAGTTGCTGCTCGTCATCTCCAGCAGCAGCACTCGCAGAATCGCTGCAAGTCACTCGCTCACGAGCGGTCGGTTGTCAGCGCCGTCGCTCTTGTATCGCTGCTGCTGCTGCTGCGGTGGCTGTTCCTGTGAACTTCAATCGGTGTATCCGCCGAACATGTTGAGGAATTCGGTCTATCAAGCCGACCTGTATCGCCTCCTCCACACTGTTCACTCGGCACACTGCAGGATGGAACAACGCGCTCACTCGCCCACTGATTTGCGCACCCGCCCACTCGCCGCACTCAATGTCGCAACTACAGCGCTCGCTCGCTCGCTCGCCGGCTCATTCACTCACCAAACCAACCTACTGAGTCACTCACTCGCCCACTCGCCAACCCGCTCGCTGCACTGCAGGTCACAGCGCTTCTCTTGCCGCTTCTTCCGTCGCACTGCGCCGCCTTGGAGTTCTTTGCAGTCATTTATCGCCGCAAAATTTCCAGGTTCTTACAACCTTGCTCGATTGTAAATAAACGCGTGTTTTTTTTTTTTAAACTGTAAACCGTTTTACAACTTTTATAGTGCTGGCCACTGTTAGGAGGGGTGGGGGAACCCGCACGTACATACAAAGGCGAAGCTACCCCATGATATGGCCCTCAACAGACTGATGGGGCAAGTGCTGTTATCAAGCACGTATGTTAAGACTGGTACAGCACATGAGGGAGTAGGTAGCCAGCACCACCCCTGGCCACCTTTGTCTCCCCCAGCGATCACGTGGAAGCAGATCCGCTTGGTAAACACCTCGGTGCGATTCGAGCATCGATCTGCTACTCGCAACCGAACGAGCTCGATGGACCAAATGGGCCCCTCGTATTTCTCACCTTTCTTTTATGTTCTCACGCCACACCAGCTGTTCAATTTATTGCAGGCGAGTTGATGCCGTAAAGGCTGGGTCGACCTAGGGGGGGGAGGCCTAAAACCGGTTGAAATGTTCGCCCGACGACACTTGGCCGTGAGCGGGCGTAAGACTCGCGTCGTTGGGCTCGTAGCGCAGTGCACCGACCACTGCGCTACCGCTACCCCCCACCCAACCCCGCACAAGCGCGCACAATCTCGCGCACGCACACACGCACATACACACGTACGCACACACACACACACGCGCGCTTCTAAAAGGTCTGCGGTGGGGTCTCCCCGGAGCGAGAAACTTAAACCCAGGGACCACCCGATTTTATATATATATAAAAAAGTGGCGTGAAATGTCGGTTGCATCGCGTGCATGCAGACAATCATTCCTCACGCGCGCGCTCTCGCCGGTATCTCGCCCTGCGGGCCCGCGTCACACCTCTAAGCCACCAACCCCCCCCCCCCCGCCGCCGCCTCGCTCGCTAAACAACAAAAAATGCCTCGCTTGCGTCACCTCCGAGCGCCGCAGTCTGGGCGATAATTAATACAGCGGCGGTAATATTACAGGGCGGCGCTGTGTTCTTTTCTTTTGGGGGGCGGGGGGGGGGGGCGTGGGTTTGAGAGCTCGACTAGCGACGAGAGACGTGCGTGGGCTGAAATCGTCTGTCCGGGGCTGGCTTCGGTCTCGCCGCGTCAATGTTATGGACGTCGCCCGACGGCATCGTCAATAAATATCGCATTGGCGTCATCGTCATTACCATCGTCAATCTCATCTTCTCGTCATGAGCGTCATTGCCGGCATCCTGAAAACGTAAGAAGGATTGCAAGCGAGAGGGGTGCCCACTCGGTTCATCGGGCTCATTCGGTTAAATCGTTAAATCTCCGTAGCAAACATCAGCCGTGAAAATAATAACTCATCCTTATTAAATTAAAACGTCAAACTTCATCATTGGTAGCAGAAGCGGCCGCATCATCGCTACAGACACCATGCTTCTATGCCTTCACCATCCCACATTGACGATCATGGCGAAGTATGGTCAAACGAACCCCCACGACTCACACGGCATGGCGAGGCCCTCATCTGGATTGACAAAAGGGCTGTATGTGTACTACGTGTGTGTGTGTGTGCTCTCTGGATGTTCACTGTAGACATTTACAATGTAGATATGTGTAAAAAGAAAAGTCTCCGTGCGTGTCTGTTTATTTACCACAGGACGGGAGTTTTTTGTGGGTCTGTCCAAGCGCACCAATCAGAGAGGAGCCGAAATTCTGGCGGACACGTTCAGGGTAAGAGTTCCGTCCCATAGCACTGTGTTGTGTGTGAACATGTGTGTCAATAACACGGGTGCTGTGTCTGCATATGCAAGCATACACGTACAACACTCGTGTACAGGGACTCCTTTACTTATGAACATTCGACTTACGAACTTTCAGAGATACGAACAAAGCTGTCCGTATGTCCAGTTGCCTGTTGGGACCAACAATCGTAAGTTCAACCGCCGCACAATAGATGGCGGTGGTGGCATCTCCATCTGCAGAACGTGAAGAACCAGTGGCATCTACATCTGCAGAACGTGAAGAACCAGTGTCATCTACATCTACAGAACGTGAAGAACCAGTGGCATCTACATCTACAGAACGTGAAGAACCAGTGGCATCTACATCTGCAGAACGTGACGAACCACTGGCATCTACATGCACAGAATGTGAAGAACCAGTGGCATCTACATCTGCAGAACGTGAAGAACCAGTGGCATCTACATCTGCAGAACGTGAAGAACCAGTGGCATCTACATCTACAGAACGTGAAGAACCAGTGGCATCTACATCTGCAGAACGTGAAGAACCAGTGGCATCTACATCTGCAGAACGTGACGAACCACTGGCATCTACATGCACAGAATGTGAAGAACCAGTGGCATCTACATCTGCAGAACGTGAAGAACCAGTGGCATCTACATCTACAGGAGATTATACGACTTTTAAAGCCATTCCCCCGTGTCTAGTGTACATGCCGTACAACGCGTTTGGAATCGACAAGAGTAAAGTTGGGCTTACGAACAAATCGACCTATGAACAACCCGTTGGAACCTAACGTGTTCATAAGTAGAGGAATACCTGTATATATCTACGTGTGCATGTACATGACAGAGGTGGTGCAGTGGTTGGCGCACTGTGCTAAAAACCCAGCGGCCAGAGTTAAATTCCCGCTCACGGCTACATCTATGACAAGTATCTAAACTCGTCCACGGCCTTAAATAAGGACCTGGTGCTGTGTGTAATACATCGGCTCTGGGGAAAACAAAGGGAGCCGGCCAAGGTTCTGACCACACCACCCTATCGTGTACCTAGCCTGGCACGAGTGTTGTGGTGATGGAATTCTTACTTAGTGGCGAATGGCGACTGTTGCTGCTGTATGGTGTGAAAGAGTGAACGGTGGTGGAGTGGTTCCCACACTGCGCTACAAACCCGGTGACCACAGCGTTTAGTTTACGGTTGTGGCTAACATGAGTGGTGAGTTAACCTTAACCAATTCACCAACAAGCGTGGTCAAGTTTGGTCCAACAACCCCCCCCCCGGTTGTAAATCTATATATATAAAAGGGAAATTTGTGAATGTGTCTGTTCAAAATGTTTTGCATACTTCCCGACATGCAACAAACTTGAAATTTGGCATGTGGCTAGCTGCCAGACTGTACACAATGCAAAAAGTATAAAAATACACTTTTGTATTGGGGGGGGGGGGGGGGTGTGCAATAATGTATATATTTTGCACGGCAAGTGAGCGGTGATGTCACATCTGTGATGTCACCCGCATGAGGTAGCGTCATGCAGTGTGCCTGCTGACGTCATGCAGGGTGCCTGCTGACGTCACACATTCCCCCCCCCCCAACCCTCCACGTAGGCTGTGTATTAACCCAAGACAAGAATCCAAGTTCCGGGCGAAGCCGGGTAGTAGAGTTCGTTTATTATATTTCACTGTGTGTGTGCGTGCGTTCAGTGGGGGAGCGGTGGTGTAGCGGTTAGCGCGCTGCGCTAAAAACCTGGTGACCCGGGTTCGATTCTCGCCCACAGCCAACACCAGTGACGATTAAGTATCTGAACCGTTCCTGGGCCTCCCGTACGTCAACTCGGCCTCATATGAGTACCTGGTGTGATCTGTGTAAACATCGCCACTAGGGAGACAAAGGCGGCCGGGCTTGGTGCTGGCCTTCATACGTGCTCGCTAACAGCACTTGCCCCAACAGTCTGTTAAGGCTATACGGGGGATCGTTGTCTTTGTGCGTTCAGGACTATGCCGTGTCCACTGTGCCTGTGAGTGGAGCTCTGCACCTCAAGAGCTTCTGCAGCATGGGGGGACCCGACCTGCTCGTCATCGGCAGCAGCGAAAACGCACAGCGTGCGCTACGGGTGAGGGGGAAGCGCACGCACTTGTGTGTGTGTGCGTGTTTGTGGGTGCACGTGTGTGTAGCGGTGAGCGCGTTGCGCTGCGAACCTAGCGACGTGAGTTCGACAGCAACTCCTATCGTGTTTTACTTTTCGTTTGTTGTTGTAACGTTCTGACCCGCCCCTACTGGACATCTGTGAGAAAAAAAAAGAGCTTTATAGCTCATCGGATTCCTCCAGTATAAAGATTCTGATTCCTGCTCATGGCCAACAGCAGTGACGGGAATCTGAACCGGTTCTAGGTGGATTCGGCCTCAAACGAGTACCTGGTGCGGTGTGTAGTAAACATCACCACTGGGGAGACAAAGGCGACCGGGCGTGGTGTTGGCCACCCACCTACCCACCCACCGTGCGTGCCGTGCCGGCCTTCATAAGCGCTCGCTAACAGCACTCGCCTCAACAGTCTGTTAAAGGCTACACGGTGGGGGAGGGGGGGGGGTCTTTGTCTTTGCACGTGATGCTCGCTGACGGCGCCGTGTGTGTTTGTGCGCGCGTGGCGAGTAGACCATGCAGCAGCTCACCGACCACCACTACGACAAACTCACCGTGCCGGACGACGGCGCCGCCAACTGCGTGTACGCGCGGCTCGGCAACAAGGGGCACGCGCTCTTGCACGCGTCCGCCGAGGACTTCCCCGAGTCTGCCAAGGTGACGCCCGTCCGCTCATCTCCTTTTAATTGCCACCTCGTTGATTCACGCATCCGCCTGCTCGGCAACTCAACTCTCATTCGCTTGCCTACCCACTCTACTCAATCATTCATTCACCTACCTGCATTCTTGGCAACTCAACTTTCGTTCACTTGCCTACCCACTCTACTCAATCATTCATTCACCTACTTGCTTGCTTGCTCAGCAACTCAACTCTCATTCGCTTGCCTACCCCACTCTACTCAATCATTCATTCACCTACCTACTTACTTGCTCAGCAACTCAACTCTTATTCGCTTGCCTACCCACTCTACTCATTCATTCACCTACTTGCTTGCTTGGCAACTCAACTCTCATTCACTTGCCTACCCACTCTACTCAATCATTAATTCACCTACTTGCTTGCTTGGCAACTCAACAACTCTCATTCGCTTGCCTACCCACTCTACTCAATCATTCATTCACCTACCAACTTGCTTGCTCAGCAACTCAACTCTCATTCGCTTGCCTACCCACTCTACTCAATCATTCATTCACCTGCTTGCTTGCTCAGCAACTCAACTCTCATTCGCTTGCCTACCCACTCTACTCAATCATTCATTCACCTACCTACTTGCTTGCTCAGCAACTCAACTCTCATTCGCTTGCCTACCCACTCCACTCATTCATTAACCTACCTCACCACCTGTCATATACTTACCTAGCCACTCGGTTCATTCAACTCGCCCAACCACTTATTAATTTACCAAAATTGTCACCTAACCTTGCTCACTTGTGCTCTTTCATGCACTCGCCCCCCACATCCATTCTCACTCGCCAGCTCATTCTCATCCATTCTCACCCATTTTGCCACTCACGATTTTCATAACTCACTCACTCATTGAATCACCCACCCGGTAACTCACTCGCACACAAACTGGCTCGCTCGTTCGCTCATTCATGCACTGCTTTACTTGACACGTTCATACTTGAGCTCGCTCTCACAATTTAGCCGACTCTCCCGAATGTTCACACAAAGACAAAGATCCCCCGTGTAGCCTGTAACAGACTGTTGGGGCAAGTGCTGTCTGCGAGCACCACCTATGAAGGCCGGAACGGCACACAAAGGGGTGGGTGGCCAGCACCACGCCCGGCCGCCTTTGTCTCCCCAGTGGCGATGTTTACACCGCTCTAGCTACTCATTTGAGGCTGAGTCGACCTAAGGGGAAGCCCAGGACCGGTTCAGATAATCGTCACTTGTGTTGGCCGTGAGCGGGAATCGAACTCCGGTCGCCGGGTTCGTAGCGCAGTGCCGCTAACCGCTATCCTACCGGTCCCTACTCTCACACACACTCACTCTGGCTTGTGTAAAACACTCCCCCCCCCCCCCCCCCCCCCCCCCCCCCCCCCCCCCCCCACCCACTTTTTAAGCGCAGCATGGACGGGTTGTGCTTTTTCTGTAGGATTGTATTGTTTACGTGATGTGATGTTTGGATTTGTGTCCAATGAATTTTAGGTGTATCCTGTAATTTTATTGTTTGTTGCGGTTGAACCCAAATCAAGAGCCGAGTGCCTCACAGGGTAAATCCTAATAACTGAAACTGAAACTCACCTCCAATATCTCCACGTGGTGGCAGGCGTTTGAAAAGCTGAAGGATTACTCCCTCATCCCGGTGTCGAACTCGGAACTGGCGAAGGTGAACGGCGCTCTCACGTGCTGCTCTGTGCTGATCAACAAGCGCCACCAACTGTGACGTCACCCCGCCTGCCCCCCTCCCTCCCCACCGATCGCGGTCAACCACGCTCGCTCTCTAACGCACGCACGCACGCACGCGCACGATTTTACACACACACGCAATGTCACGCATACACGCACGCAGTGTCCCGCGAACGAACGCGCGCGGTTCACGTAGTCTCACACGAGCACGGTGCTCTCGTGTGCTCGCACGCGTGCTGATAACTGCACGCACGCAGGCACACAATCAGCGCACGCTCCTTCACATGCCCAATGCTGGTCCCAAATTGCCCCTAACCCCCCCTGATGTCACAGCTGATCACCAGGCACCAGCGCGATGAAGGCTCATTTAAGCACGAAGCAAACCACAACGGCCACTTTTAACCGACCAAGCAGCCTCCTGTGGCTCCGATGGCGCTGAAGATTCTACAACGTCGCGTGCCCCGCCTCGCTGGGGGGCTGGAGGATAGGTGGATATAGGTGAAAGGTTAAAATTTGTGAATGTTTATAGAACACGATGGTTACGCCATCATGCACAAATCCAGCAGTAGGGGGGGGGGGGGAGGGGTGTGGGTCTGATATGCAGCGTTGCACGACGGTGGATCCCACAGTGTACCATCACAATACATTGGCGTTTTATTCGTCGGTGGTGTTGCCGGGGGGCATCGTTCTGATATCGGCAGAAATTTCTCAAAGACTCGGAAAACATACCGCAGCCCAAAATGCTTGCCGTGTGAGCCAACCAATTTGATCAGATGCGCAATACATTGAGCTGGATTTACATATCGATTATCAGTTGCATTACACAGCTCCCATCGGATCACACAATACGAGTTGGGGGAGCCAAGAAGTTCAATAGATTTCGCCTCTGCTCCAGTGTGTGCCGCTGGACGGGAACATGATGGGGGGGGGCGGGGCTTGGTGATGTCATCGGCATCGTCAGCCCACCGTCACGCCGCGTGTGGCCTCCTGGGGGAGGGGTTTGGGGGGCGAAGTCTTTTAAAGGGAGCGCCGAGTAATCGCCCACGAAAAAAAATAGATTTTATAATTCACAATAAAAAAAAGTTTTTGGCCTAATTATGTGCGGTAACCCTCCACCACCCGAGACAGCCAGTAAGGTTTGCCACGTAAACAACGCGCGAGAGCCTACGTGTTAAGCCGATTTATAATTCTTGTTAAAACTAAAATTAACCGACCTTAAATTGACCAATCCCAGCTTTAGTGTAAATACTCGTGTAGCATCCAGAACAACTCCTGGCTGTCGCCCCGATGAGGCTGGTTGTAATTGCTGGCGAAACGTCACCGGTACTTGAATTGTAAATGTTGTCGATTTGCTCTCCACCACACCGGTGTGCTACACCACCAGTAACGAATTGGCACGTTTTGTTAACGTGAATGAACCTTGCTAATTGGCTGTGTCGGTTGATGGCGGGTTTAATGACATATAGTAATAGGGTTTTTCCCCTTTTTTCGGGCAACAAAACTGAAACCTTTTTACAAGGATTCATGTTACTGCATTAACCACAATACCTGCAGTCATGTGGTCGAGCACCAATTGGGTCGAGGCTCAAAAGAAAGCCGTCCCTTGGTGTGGACCAATCAGTTTCAAGGACAATGCCACATATATTATCATAGTATGTTTTTTTTGCATTTTGACTGCAGGTATTGTGGTTAATGCAGTAACATGAATCCTTGTAAAAAGGTTTCAGTTTTGTTGCCAGAAAAAAGGGGAAAAACCCTATTACTACATTTTGGTACTGGCAAAGGAGGTCTAATGATGTAGTTAACGACATATTTATGCGATCTAACCCTCTTGTGGATATTGGTAGTGAAAAAGCCTACTACGTGTCAAAGCGACTCCCAGCATGATGGTATTATCTTTTGAGCATCTGCTTCATAGGTATTTTGGAGTCTCGACACCTGCCACGATGGACAATAGCCAAGTTGGATACGCTGAACCGGTACTAGCCGAGGTCGGGATTTTGTTTTTGTAATTTTTATCTCCCAAGTTCTGATCCAGAACTTGCCCATCGGTGTCACGTCCTGAAACGACGAATCCGTTCCGGATCTCCTGAGGGCAAAGCGAGACCCTTCGTGCTGGAGAATGGTCCACAGAAGCGGATGTCACAAAACTTCCTCTCCGAGATTGCTTCTGTGGATTATTCTGGTCAGTTTGGCAGACGACAAATGCGTGGTTTTGGTAAGAGAAACACCGTAAATGATGTTTGGCAGTCGCCTGTGATATGCAAATGAAAATATGGGTCCTGATATTCGTTCGTTCGTTCCTCAGTCCACTTGTCCTGGCGAGGGTCGCCGCGGCAGCGGCAGCAGCAGCAGCAGCAGCGTGTTGAGTCGCGGCGGTCCAGACCTCCCTCACCCTGGCGAGACTCCTAGCGCTTCCTGGGGAGTTCCCAGGAGGGGTTCCCAGGCCAGCTGAGCGACAGTCCCGCCAGCGTATCCTGGGCCGCCAGCGTATCCTGGGCCGCCCCCCCCCCCCCCACCCCGGGGTCTTCTGATACGCGAATGAGAATTCTGCAATTGATTGAAAGCGTTTCTGTGCTCTCGGGTGCCAATCTTGTCCCTTTTTAGGCTAGGATCGCTGAAAAACCGTCGCATACGTATTAAAGTATTAAACTCTACACAAACACACGTCAGCGCCACACACCCACGAACTCATACCAAGCAACAAACTCTGGCAAACAATGTTTTTGGGGGGCGTGATTGCGGATAATTTAACTTGTGAACATGTTACTCTGTTATGAGTATTTAACAATCTGATTTTCCGATCCGAATCATGCATGCATACATTTTAGAACGACTTCTGTCATTCTGATTGGCCTATAATTCCATTGTCGTGGCACTGAGCCCAACACAGGCCCTGGGTGTCTCTCAGGACACTTTAACTATTTTTTATTTTTAAAGTGTCCATCGTCTCGCCAGTGTTGATACCCATGATTAATACTGCTCCATCAAGTATTATGCATTTTAGGCCGAGATAAGCTTGGAAGAACCGGGTAAAGCACAGGTGCCAGTTACTACTCGTAATACAGGTGGTGGTCAGGGACAATCTGGGAAACATGGAGATTGCAGTTCAGTGCCCAATCTATTACCACACTGCCAATCATACACGTGTACTTTTGCTGTTTTACGAATTTTTTTTTTCCAGGTAAGGCCCACTGAGATATGTAGGTCTTTTTCATAAGCCACCTGGCCACAAACGATAGCGCGACGAAATGGATTATCATGTGGAAATTCATAGCGGCCAAATACTCTGAACCCATGATGTTGATTCTAAATGTGGAGGGGGAAAAAAAAACCGGAGCAGGACCTGGAGAAAAATCCACGCGACCACGGGGGGTGAACACGCACATCCGTGCTATACGATCATGGAGCCGACGCGGAATTTTCCACTGGCTATTTGCCGTTTGCCGAGCTGAAACCAATCTGTGATACTCTGGCCTGACGAGGCATCCGAATCTAGCTTGGAGGTGGGGGAGGGGGGGGGGCCCCCCAAGCTGAGCCAGCAATGCTGTGTTGCGGTCAGTAGGACGCTAACACTGCATCACCGCGTCGTCTGCATGCGTTCTCGACGGGCACGTGTCGCGCCCATCGATGGTACGGGCGCGGCTCTTGCTCGTGCAGTGGAAAAGCAAAACCCGCGCTTCCTGACCTGTGCCAGGGAGGCAGGGGTGGGAAGAGTGAGCTTAAAATGGGTGTTGCATTCGGGTTATATTAGCACGGTTGGCTACATAGACCACTGGCTGAACCAGTAACCCTGGGAGGCCCTGGGAACCCTGGGGTCTGCCGCTGTCACCGAGCTGATGGCCGCAGCAAAACACCCGAGGTCAGGCGTCTCGAGAGCACCTGAATTTGAATGGCGATGGAACAAATTGCCTGCCACTTCCTTCGGGGTGAACACTGCCGTCAGCTGTCAAGCACGGCGGGGTTTAGCAGTCGGTCGGGAGTCCAGTCGCAGACATTCCTGCAAGTGAAATGCGGTGCAGTACGTCACGTACCCAAATTCCACCGTTGGACCGAGGTGTCGGCGGACGTTTGAACGTCCGTGGAAAGTGTAAAGTGGCAGCGTCATTTCACGCAAAATCGGCGACGGGACAAAACAAATATGGCAAACTGGTTCAAACATCGGGAAATGCTTCGCTGTGCTTTAGGAGTGAGCAAAAAGTGAAGTGAGATTATAGGAATATATTCCCGTGTGAAAACGGTCGGATTTGTGAAACATCTGGAGGGTAACACACCCAGTGCTCAAATACTGCACTGGGTGTTGCGCGCATCGGTTTAAGTGGTCGGGGCAGATACTTTGTATCGTACTCAAAACCTCACGTTTTTTTGTCTTCAGCCAGGTTAAACTCCTCAGCTGTGACCTCTAAAACCTTCTGTGTCAGAGGCAGTTGAGAACCCTTGCAGCTATAGCCGAGGTTGAAGACGTAGTCCATGAGCCCAGACCAGATTTATCACTTGTAGTCTGTACCACCTGAAGTTGGCATCGCATCGTGGGGAGCGGTAGTGCAGCGGTCGGCGCACTGCGCTACGAATCCTGCGACCCGGGTTCGATTCTTTCTCACGGCTAACACCAGGTGACGATTATCTGAACCGGTCCTGGGCCTCCCCGAGGCCGATTCGGCCTCATGAGTACCTGGTGCGGTGTTTAAACATAGCCACTGGGGAGACAAAGGCGGCCGGGCGTGATGCTGGCCACCCACGCCTGAGTGTGCCGTTCCGGCCTTCATTGGTGCCACTCACTCGCAGCACTTGCCCCACAATAGTCTTAAGGCGACACGGGGTGTCTTTGTTTGGGAATCACATTAGCCGTTACAATTCTTTGTGTGACCAATATCGGATAATTATTGCAATACCCATTTAAAATTAATGGAGCTATCGTGTAATTCGCAATTCTAGGTATGTAAATCAAATCGGGCTCTGCTCAATGGACTAAAGATGCAAAGCCTCTTAATTAACGGAGGGCATGACAGAATGATTCAACTGGATTAATTGACTGGCCAATTGATCTGTCATGTCTAACGTCGAGGTTTTCTGTGCGTGTGGGAACTCACTGAAAATAGTCAAAAATTAATCTGTCCCAGGAAACATTTTAACAATTTATTTGGTAGCCAGTCATTCATCCTTTGGTGACCGAATTTTAAATGTCAATAAAAAGCCGTGTTCAGATTATGAATATATAATACATTGTCTCAAACATCAAGTTTTATTTTGCTAACCTTACTAAGTATTATAGTTTTTCTTGCAACGCCATAACCTAATATCAATGTGTTCTACTGAGAATTACTAAACTTAACTGTGAAAGTTCTTGTCCGTAAATTTTAATCAGAATATGAAAATAAAAATATTGCAGTGTTATCGTCAACCAATTATTCTATATATAACAAAAATAATCGTATCCTGTGACGGCGTCGCCAATTTTATTTTTGGCCGATTTTTATCCTAGCTTAAACTCGCTCTGATCTTTGTGTCACCAATGACAAGTGTTTATCATGTGCAGCATTGAAGGCAGTTTCATTAATTTTCACTGTCCCAAATGCTTTTTTAAAAAGTGCATATTCCAGTCCCAAAATTTCCCATTTTCATGAATAAAATAACGGAAGACTGTAATCAAAAATGACAGATCTTCGCAGACATTCATACAGCGCGTCCGGACCCGAGTGTTTTCAGCGTTCTTCCTCATTACGGAAGCTTCAAACTCGTGTGTTTGGACAGCGCAGGGGACAGGCAGCGTAGGTGTGTGACTACCACAGATGAATGTGGTTTTTTCTGTCGTCCTGTTAAACATCAGAAGAGGGGGGGAGACAGTGCCAGTAAAACGACGCTGCCAATAACCATCGTGGTGCCCTCCCAGCTTGACGACAGATCCAATCCTGCTGCAGTAGCCACCAAGTGCGTTTTGCTCAGATCCTACCAAGGCATTGCCCACCTGCCGTCTTCTGAATGAAAGTGGTGTGCGGAGCCTTTTCAAGAACGCGCAAAGTCATCACTCCACGTAAAAGTTTGCTACTGTGTGTGGCGGCGGCGGCGGTGTAGCTACCCAGTTCGCTAACGTGATCCTTGCCTGTGGGGGTATATGACAAACGCCGTCAATCGCCGTTCTGATGCAACGCGTCACTCGCGTTTTCCTTGAAGGAAAAGTGACGAGCATAAAAAATACGACTCCTCAATGGAAATGTTGACACACTCGCACGCGTGAAATTGTGAGGTGTAAAGGACTGGTTGGTTCCACATTTTATCCCACTAAACGTGCTCCAGGACCGTAAACTAATTATTTTGTTATGCTCACGCTTTAGCAGTGTGGTGCACAAAAGCACGAAATATGTTCGGTGTCAATAACACCGTGGCCTTCAAAGTGAAATATACAATAACACATACATCATTGATATAAATTATGGATTTAAAGCGATGATTTGTGCTATGAAAGGCCTGTAATGTCACCTGTAATATATATATTTTTAAAGCCACCGTGTTATTGAGGAATGTGTACTCTATGAACTCATACCCCAAATCTGCAAAGCACTGCAGCATGCATGCCTTGCTGCCCCCACATCGCATGTACAATGCTCTCAGCCATGTCCAGACCACCAGCTTAACAGAGCTAGAATGTATTATTTAGGCCACTATGCAGAAAAAAATGTAATTATGACCCTAAACTGTAAAAGGTCAATGAATCATGAAGGGTGTTGGATCATTTTAAATAATGAAGATAACATTTTTAATTTGCGGCAAGTTGACATAAAACCACTTCAATTCCACTCCAAAAAAGCCACAACATCAGACGCAACGAAAATAAACTCGCACTCAATAGCACTGCGGCCTTGAGAAACGTACACAGGAGGTGACATTTCAGGCAATGGCCCTTAACATACTACCGACCTCGTGCCTACGTGTTGCGCTGTTACGCGTTGTTCTTTCAAGGCCACGGTGGTATTGACAAGTGTTTGATTGTTGTTTTGTGATTTTTCGCGCTATTGCCATCGCTGCGGTACTGGCTGCGGCAGCGTCGCCACCTAGATAATTTGTTTTTACTCCGGAAGGACGTAATTCTGAAGCAAACCCAAGTTTTAAATCTACGTCGTCGATAAGAACCGTCTTTTTGGCGACTTGAGATGTCGGTGGCACGCACTGTGATCCATGTCCACCGTTTATATGGTTGTGAATTTTTGTTAATTCTCTCCACCTCCCCCCTCCCCCCCCAAAATAACTGCTGTCGGAGGATCCGTGTTTGTAGACTTATTGCCAAGCCATTCTCTGCGCACAATTTCTCGCACCTCTCTCAGTCACGGCGCCAATAATGCAGCAGCATCTGAGTGGTGAAACAATAACGTTTGTTTTTTTCATCTCCTGCGACTCCGCTCGTTTCAACCCGCCCTGCAATAATGATGATGATTCCTGTAGCCTTGTAGAGTTTCACGAGTTTCTGACGCACATTCAAAAACGTGCCCAAATGAATGTTTTTTATTCAACCAAAATGGCCTCGCCGAGTCTATCTCTGAAGGGGGGGGGGGGTCCTGGTTTGGCAATCTTGTGGCCACTTATTTGAACACGACTAAGGGGAAAAAATCAAATCGGTACCCAGAGAACCCATCACATATGGGTGGATATAACACTGAAACTCAAACAATGGATTTCTAAGATTCCTCGATGTGCTTCCTCCAGGCAGCTTGAGACGAGTTGTTAAACCACCACTGCTGGTGTAGGCTTATTTGGTTGTGCCGCTGTACAGCTCCCCCCCCCCATTTTTTTGGGGGGGGGGGGGGGGGGGTCGTGCTGCTACGTGTTTGTTAGGCACAACGTCCGACGTTTCACTCCATGTGCTGGGAGCTTCTTCATGATCATGCTGTTCAGGAACTGAAGACGCTTCCACCGCTCGCAGCGAAACGTCGGACATCGTGTGTTGGGCAACAAACGGCGGCACAACCCGAACGCGCGTTTTAACTTCCCACGTGGCCACAGGCCTCCATCACAGAGAGACGCCAAACTTCAATGGGGCCCCTCACTGTTAAATATCAGCGGTGGCCTTTCTCTTGGTTAAATAAAGACCGTCCACGTGGCATACGCCACACACACACACACGTATGCACAAGCACACTACTATATAACAAGGTGCCATCAACTTGTTTTGTTTTGCTTCTGCCTTGGTAAGAACGTGTATTGTTCACAGCTAATGGGGATCCCTATCAGCTGAACCGCAATGTGAGTGAGACAACCGCTATCCCACCCACCGCCCTCACGCCCGTGCACGATGCAATTACATTCTGGGTTTGTTGCGTGTGCAAGGGGGGGGGGGGGGGGGAACTCCCTCCTCTTAACCAACCCCCTCCACCCAACACTGCTTTGCCCATGGATGGTGCTTTTATTCAAATTAGCGCACGACGAGATTTAACGAAAAATAATAATAAAAACAAATATTCCAGCACCGCAAGTGGCGTCCGCGTGTCCTGTGTCTCTTGCCTCACTGGGAACATTGGCAGCTGCTGTCTCTCTCCGTATTCGCTGCCCGCGGTCGAAGTGTCCACTCTGGGTGTTGTGTCGATACGTTTCGATCTCGCCGTCGACCGCCCCAAGTGGCCATGCCCCGAGGGCCAACTCCACCTCGGCTCCAGAACAACGGGGTCAGCGACCTGAGGCTCCCGCCTGCGGCTCTTGACATTCGAATTGAAACTAAATATATGGCTCTTCTCATTATTTTTGTTTTGCCACATAGAAAAAAAAAAGTGGCTGCTCTTGATTTTGGTTTCAGACCCCTGCTCCGGACTGCGCTTGGCTAAAGCGGCCCATTGATACCGCACTGCTGATGATTCGGAGCACGGGCGAAACCTGCCGCCCACCTGCATCGTCAAAGGCCAGTCTCCTGGCTGTAAACAATCGAGACTTGGTGGCAATCCTCTGGACGGTTCTGAAACCAACAAGAAAAAAACACTGGAACACGACGACAAAGATACGGCGCGCCCTCCGAATTGCCGGGATAATTCGAGACAACAAACCGGCACACAACACGCCTCCTCCTTCCCATAGTCGTGTCTTCACGTATCAACAAAAAAAACTCAAGTACTTTCCCCATCGGCCCACGCGGCCTTCTGGGAGTGCAACTTATCAACAGCATTTGGGGGGGGAGGCACATTTTACCCCCACCAAAACGTGAACCTTGCCCATCCACGGTGATGCACCCATTTAAACTGCTGGGTTGGACAGAGGCGGACTTGTGATTTAAGGCGTTTGGCACCGTCGTTTTTATGCAATTTGAATTTATACACTTGATCTATTTTAAATTAGCAACTCGTTTTTTTGTATTGATTGTTGTAACTTTATATGATGCCCGTGCCCCTACTGGACCATCTGTGTGGGGGAAAAAACCAAAAAGAGCTTCACAGCTCATCGAATTTCTCCAAAGATAAAGATCCTGAACAGAGTTGCCCTCCGGTAGCGGCACCTGGGGATGCTGCCATGGTGCGAGGCTGGGGGACCGTGCACTCACGACGTGGAGGTCGCAGGTTCGACCTCGTGTAACCACAAGAAGTATTGCACTTTCACAGACGAGGCAAAAGGCCCACGATATATTTAGGTCTAAAAAAGACGGGTTAGTTTCTCTGTTCGACCCGTGGATTCTGCACGCATCTGCAAGTCAGCTGCTCCGTTGTCACCGGCTCGGCAGCCTTTGCAAACCCACCGCTGGACGGAGGCCTTCTACCGTGGCCGTGTTCGATCATGGTGGCTGTTTGCCCATACTTCACCACGCCTGGCAGTGCGTGTTTGACTGGTGCAGAGGGGAGAAACTCACAATTGCACATCCGATTAGCGCGGTTTTGGCTACGTACGGTGTGAAAAAAGTTCACCATAAATACCACCCACACTCAACAATGCACAGACTCAACACTGCCCCTCTGATTAGCACGGTTGGCTGCGTAGTGTGAAATAAGTTTAACGTACATACCGCCCAGACACAACACTGCCCATAGACTTAAAACTGCCCGTCCGATTAGCACGGTTGGCTACGTACGGTGTGAAAGGAGTTCAACATTACATAGCGCCCATAGACTCAACAATGTCCATAGACTCGGCACTGCCCCTCCGATTAACGCGGTTGGCTACGTACGGTGCGAAAGAAGTTCAAATTACATACACATACAGCTGGTTTCAAGGTTCAGATACCACTTCGCCAATGGTGTAGGCCTTTGCCGCGGATTCTAAACCAGAGCTGTCGTGTTTTATAGCGAGGTTCACCAACCGCTCCGCCACCGCTCACGACAACGCGCATCTGGTGCAAAAAAATCAAATCACGATTCCATTATTTAGGTATTTTGGAGTCTCTACACCTGCCACGATGGACAATAGCCAAGTTGGATACGCTGAACCGGTACTAGCCGAGGTCGGGATTTTGTTTTTGTAATTTTTATCTCCCAAGTTCTGATCCAGAACTTGCCCATCGGTGTCACGTCCTGAAACGACGAATCCGTTCCGGATCTCCTGAGGGCAAAGCGAGACCCTTCGTGCTGGAGAATGGTCCACAGAAGCGGATGTCACAAAACTTCCTCTCCGAGATTGCTTCTGTGGATTATTTTGGTCAGTTTGGCAGACGACAAATGCGTGGTTTTGGTAAGAGAAACACCGTAAATGATGTTTGGCAATCGCCTGTGATATGTAAATGAAAATATGGGTCCTGATATTCGTTCGTTCGTTCCTCAGTCCACTTGTCCTGGCGAGGGTCGCCACGGCAGCGGCAGCAGCAGCAGCAGCAGCGTGTTGAGTCGCGGCGGTCCAGACCTCCCTCACCCTGGCGAGACTCCTAGCGCTTCCTGGGGAGTTCCCAGGAGGGGTTCCCAGGCCAGCTGAGCGACAGTCCCGCCAGCGTATCATGGGCCGCCCCCCCCCACCCCGGGGTCTTCTGATACGCGAATGAGAATTCTGCAATTGATTGAAAGCATTTCTGTGCTCTCGGGTGCCAATCTTGTCCCTTTTTAGGCTAGGATCGCTGAAAAACCGTCGCATACGTATTAAAGTATTAAACTCTACACAAACACACGTCAGCGCCACACACCCACGAACTCATACCAAGCAACAAACTCTGGAAAACAATGTTTTTGGGGGGCGTGATTGCGGATAATTTAACTTGTGAACATGTTACTGTTATGAGTATTTAACAATCTGATTTTCCGATCCGAATCATGCATGCATACATTTTAGAACGACTTCTGTCATTCTGATTGGCCTATAATTCCATTGTCGGGGCACTGAGCCCAGCACAGGCCCTGGGTGTCTCTCAGGACACTTTAACTATTTTTTATTTTTCAAGTGTCCATCGTCTCGCCAGTGTTGATACCCATGATTAATACTGCTCCATCAAGTATTATGCATTTTAGGCCGAGATGAGCTTGGAAGAACCGGGTAAAGCACAGGTGCCAGTTACTACTCGTAATACAGGTGGTGGTCAGGGCCGATTTTTATCCTAGCTTAAACGCGCTCTGATCTTTGTGTCACCAATGACAAGTGTTTATCATGTGCAGCATTGAAGGCAGTTTCATTAATTTTCACTGTCCCAAATGCTTTTTTAAAAAGTGCATATTCCAGTCACAAAATTTCCCATTTTCATGAATAAAATAACGGAAGACTGTAATCAAAAATGACAGATCTTCGCAGACATTCATACAGCGCGTCCGGACCCGAGTGTTTTCAGCGTTCTTCCTCATTACGGAAGCTTCAAACTCGTGTGTTTGGACAGCGCAGGGGACAGGCAGCGTAGGTGTGTGACTACCACAGATGAATGTGTGTTTTTTCTGTCGTCCTGTTAAACATCAGAAGAGGGGGGGAGACAGTGCCATCCAATCCTGCTGCAGTAGCCACCAGGTGCGTTTTGCTCAGATCCTACCAAGGCATTGCCCACCTGCCGTCTTCTGAATGAAAGTGGTGTGCGGAGCCTTTTCAAGAACGCGCAAAGTCATCACTCCACGTAAAAGTTTGCTACTGTGTGTGGCGGCGGCGGCGGCGTAGCTACCCAGTTCGCTAACGTGATCCTTGCCTGTGGGGGTATATGACAAACGCCGTCAATCGCCGTTCTGATGCAACGCGTCTCTCGCGTTTTCCTTGAAGGAAAAGTGACGAGCATAAAAAATACGACTCCTCAATGGAAATGTTGACACACTCGCACGCGTGAAATTGTGAGGTGTAAAGGACTGGTTGGTTCCCCATTTTATCCCACTAAACGTGCTCCAGGACTGTAAACTAATTATTTTGTGATGCTCATGCTTTAGCAGTGTGGTGCACAAAAACACGAAATATGTTCCGTGTCAATAACACCGTGGCCTTCAAAGTGAAATATACAATAACACATACATCATTGATATAAATTATGGATTTAAAGCGATGATTTGTGCTATGAAAGGCCTGTAATGTCACCTGTAATATATATTTTTTTAAAGCCACCGTGTTATTGAGGAATGTGTACTCTATGAACTCATACCCCAATTCTGCAAAGCACTGCAGCATGCATGCCTTGCGGCCCCCACATCGCATGTACAATGCTCTCAGCCATGTCCAGACCACCAGCTTAAGAGCTAGAATGTATTATTTAGGCCACTATGCAGAAAAAAATGTAATTATGACCCTAAACTGTAAAAGGTCAATGAATCATGAAGGGTGTTGGATCATTTTAAATAATGAAGATAACATTTTTTAATTTGCGGCAAGTTGACATAAAACCACTTCAATTCCACTCCAAAAAAGCCACAACTTCTGACGTAACGAAAATAAACTCGCACTCAATAGCACTGCGGCCTTGAGAAACGTACACAGGAGGTGACATTTCAGGCAATGGCCCTTAACATACTACCGACCTCTTGCCTACGTGTTGCGCTGTAACGCGTTGTTCTTTCAAGGCCACGGTGGTATTGACAAGCGTTTGATTGTTTTGTGATTTTTCGCGCTATTGCCATCGCTGCGGTACTGGCTGCGGCAGCGTCGCCACCCAGATAATTTGTTTTTACTCCGGAAGGACGTAATTCTGAAGCAAACCCAAGTTTTAAATCTACGTCGTCGATAAGAACCGTCTTTTTGGCGACTTGAGATGTCGGTGGCACGCACTGTGATCCATGTCCGCCGTTTATATGGTTGTGAATTTTTGTTAATTCTCTCCACCTCCCCTCCCCCCAAAATAACTGCTGTCAGAGGATCTGTGTTTGTAGACTTATTGCCAAGCCATTCTCTGCGCACAATTTCTCGCACCTCTCAGTCACGGCGCCAATAATGCAGCAGCATCTGAGTGGTGAAACAATAACGTTTGTTTTTTTCATCTCCTGCGACTCCGCTCGTTTCAACCCGCCCTGCAATAATGATGATTCCTGTAGCCTTGTAGAGTTTCACGAGTTTCTGACGCACATTCAAAAACGTGGCCAAATGAATGTTTTTTATTCAACCAAAATGGCCTCGCCGAGTCTATCTCTGAAGGGGGGGGGGTCCTGGTTTGGCAATCTTGTGGCCACTTATTTGAACACGACTAAGGGGAAAAAATCAAATCGGTACCCAGAGAACCCATCACATATGGGTGGATATAACACTGAAACTCAAACAATGGATTTCTAAGATTCCTCGATGTGCTTCCTCCAGGCAGCTTGAGACGAGTTGTTAAACCACCACTGCTGGTGTAGGCTTATTTGGTTGTGCCGCTGTACAGCTCCCCCCCCCCCTTTTTTTGGGGGGGGGGGGGGTCGTGCTGCTACGTGTTTGTTAGGCACAACGTCCGACGTTTCGCTCCATGTGCTGGGAGCTTCTTCATGAACATGCTGTTCAGGAACTGAAGACGCTTCCACCGCTCGCAGCGAAACGTCGGACATCGTGTGTTGGGCAACAAACGGCGGCACAACCCGAACGCGCGTTTTAACTTCCCACGTGGCCACAGGCCTCCATCACAGAGAGACGCCAAACTTCAATGGGGCCCCTCACTGTTAAATATCAGCGGCGGCCTTTCTCTTGGTTAAATAAAGACCGTCCACGTGGCATACGCCACACACACACACGTATGCACAAGCACACTACTATATAACAAGGTGCCATCAACTTGTTTTGTTTTGCTTCTGCCTTGGTAAGAACGTGTATTGTTCACAGCTAATGGGGATCCCTATCAGCTGAACCGCAATGTGAGTGAGACAACCACTATCCCACCCATCGCCCTCACGCCCGTGCACGATGCAGTTACATTCTGGGTTTGTTCCGTGTGCAAGGGGGGGGGAACTCCCTCCTCTTAACCAACCCCCTCCACCCAACACTGCTTTGCCCATGGATGGTGCTTTTATTCAAATTAGCGCACGACGAGATTTAACGAAAAATAATAATAAAAACAAATATTCCAGCACCGCAAGTGGTGTCCGCGTGTCCTGTGTATCTTGCCTCACTGGGAACATTGGCAGCTGCTGTCTCTCTCCGTATTCGCTGCCCGCGGTCGAAGTGTCCACTCTGGGTGTTGTGTCGATACGTTTCGATCTCGCCGTCGACCGCCCCAAGTGGCCATGCCCCGAGGGCCAACTCCACCTCGGCTCCAGAACAACGGGGTCAGCGACCTGAGGCTCCCGCCTGCGGCTCTTGACATTCGAATTGAAACAAAATATATGGCTCTTCTCATTATTTTTGTTTTGCCACATAGAAAAAAAAAAGTGGCTGCTCTTGATTTTGGTTTCAGACCCCTGCTCCGGACTGCGCTTGGCTAAAGCGGCCCATTGATACCGCACTGCTGATGATTCGGAGCACGGGCGAAACCTGCCCCCCCACCTGCATCGTCAAAGGCCAGTCTCCTGGCTGTAAACAATCGAGACTTGGTGGCAATCCTCTGGACGGTTCTGAAACCAACCAACAAGAAAAAAACACTGGAACACGACGACAAAGATACGGCGCGCCCTCCGAATTGCCGGGATAATTCGAGACAACAAACCGGCACACAACACGCCTCCTCCTTCCCATAGTCGTGTCTTCACGTATCAACAAAAAAAACTCAAGTACTTTCCCCATCGGCCCACGCGGCCTTCTGGGAGTGCAACTTATCAACAGCATTTGGGGGGGGGGGGCACATTTTACCCCCACCAAAACGTGAACCTTGCCCATCCACTGTGATGCACCCATTTAAACTGCTGGGTTGGACAGAGGCGGACTTGTGATTTAAGGCGTTTGCACCGTCGTTTTTATGCAATTTGAATTTCATACACTTGATCTATTTTAAATTAGCAACTCGTTTTTTTGTATTGATTGTTGTAACTTTATATGATGCCCGTGCCCCTACTGGACCATCTGTGTGGGGAAAAAACCAAAAAGAGCTTCACAGCTCATCGAATTTCTCCAAAGATAAAGATCCTGAACAGAGTTGCCCTCCGGTAGCGGCACCTGGGGATGCTGCCATGGTGCGAGGCTGGGGGACCGTGCACTCACGACGTAGAGGTCGCAGGTTCGACCTCGTGTAACCACAAGAAGTATTGCACTTTCACAGACGAGGCAAATGGCCCACGATATATTTAGGTCTAAAAAAAGACGGGTTAGTTTCTCTGTTCGACCCGTGGATTCTGCACGCGTCTGGAAGTCAGCTGCTCCGCTGTCACCGGCTCGGCAGCCTTTGCAAATCCACCGCTGGACGGAGGCCTTCTACCGTGGCCGTGTTCGATCATGGTGGCTGTTTGACCATACTTCACCACGCCTGGCAGTGCGTGTTTGACTGGTGCAGAGGGGAGAAACTCACAATTGCACATCCGATTAGCGCGGTTTTGGCTACGTACGGTGTGAAAAAAGTTCACCATAAATACCACCCACACTCAACACTGCCCCTCTGATTAGCACGGTTGGCTGCGTAGTGTGAAATAAGTTTAACGTACATACCGCCCAGACACAACACTGCCCATAGACTTAAAACTGCCCGTCCGATTAGCACGGTTGGCTACGTACGGTGCGAAAGGAGTTCAACATTACATAGCGCCCATAGACTCAACAATGTCCATAGACTCGGCACTGCCCCTCCGATTAACGCGGTTGGCTACGTACGGTGCGAAAGAAGTTCAAATTACATACACATACAGCTGGTTTCAAGGTTCAGATACCACTTCGCCAATGGTGTAGGCCTTTGCCGCGGATTCTAAACCAGAGCTGTCGTGTTTTATAGCGAGGTTCACCAACCGCTCCGCCACCGCTCACGACAACGCGCATCTGGTACAAAAAAAAAAATCAAATCACGATTCCATTATTTTAAATGGAATTATATACGATCACTCTAAGAAACATTTGCGATTAAAATCCATTAGCTTTTTTTTTTTTTTTACTCCAAGCAAATATTGCTCTCACGGCCACGAGTGAACGTCGCAGTAATGGGATAACTAAACTACGACAAAAAAAAATATCGATCACGGAATCGATTCGCGCTGCTAAATCGTAGCGATTCATAGAATCAATACTCGGCGAGTCCTTTTGTAAGTCTAAGATATAGAATGTTTGTACACAAGCGCGGTCGTGTGCGTTTGCTCTGTAAGGTGCCAATCGACGCCAGGGACGCCCTTGCGATCGGGATGGTTCCATCTCAAGCGAGTTTCCAGGCAAAATATTTCAATGAAACAAACTAACTCCCAAGTCGTCTCCACCACCACCACCACCACAAACTTCACCGTCATGACCACCAACTCCTCCACCACAACATCATCACCACTGCTACCACCGTCACGACCACTTCCAACTTTCACACCAACGCCACCACCAAAAACTCCACCACCCTCAAGCCTCAGGGTTCCTGCGCTGAGGGTTCACCCCCTGCCCCAGTCACAGCAGCCTGGCTAAGGGAACCTGCTGCTGCTGCTGATGCTGCTGCAGCAGGGGTTGAGGAAGCAGCGAGCGGTGGCGATGGAGGAGAGGGGGGCGGTGGTCGCCCCTCGAAGTGAGCCTGGATCTGCTCGAGGGATCGGCCTTTGGTTTCGGGAAGGGCGACGATCGTCAGCACGAACCCGGCGGCGCACACGCTGGCGAAGAACCAGAACGCGCCGGGGAAACCCAACCACTCCTGGACACGGTGGGGGTGGCAGGGCACAAAGGGAACGTCACAGTGGGGACACGGGGGGGAGGGAATCCATAGTATGAGCGCGAGAACGGGATTACGGCCCTGGTGATCGTGGTGGTGGTGGTGGTGGTACTGGTGACGAGTCGTGTTACAGCTGAGAATGCTATAGAGGTGATGGTGTTGGTATGAGTGGTGGTGCTGGTTTAAGTGGTGATGGTGGTAAGTGATGGTGACGGTGGTTGTGGTGCTGTAGGTATGAGTGGTGGTGGTGGTGGTGGTATTGGTTGGCACTGTTATTGCTGAAAATGTCTGTAGTGATGGTGATATTGGGGATGTTGCGAGTGCGAGCAATGATGGTGGCGGTAATCTTGGTGTTTTTGACGGTGCCCACGATGTTGTTGGTGCTGCGAATAGTAACGGCGGCGCTGTTGCCGGTGCTGCTGACGACGCCATGATGCTCACGATGACGCACAAGGTGATGCCGAAGGTCTGATAATGCTGACGACGCCCATAACGTCCATGATGTTGACGGTGATGGTGATGATGGTGGTGATGATGGTGATGTTGATGGCGGCGCTGTACGTACGTACTTTTAAAGTCTTTCGCGCCGTACGAAGCCAACCGCGCGAAATCGGGAGGTGCGGGAAATCGGGAGGTGTGGGTGAATCATTTTGATGCCGATGATGATGACTGCAATACTCATACTACTGCTGCTGATGTTGGCAGGAAGAATTTTGATGATGCTGCTTCCACTTATTCTGCTGCTGCTGATGATGATGCTGATGATAATGTGGCTGATCCTGCTGCTGGTGATGATGCTGCTGCCGATGATGATGCTGCTGGTGATGCTAATGACAATGATGCTGGTGATGATGATGATGTGGCTGGTGATGCTGCTGCCGCCGCCACCGATGATGATGATGATGCTGCTTCCGCGCGGCCCGCTTCTCACGCTGAAGTCGTGGAACTCCTTGGTGACGACGAACGCCGAGATCCAGTTGACGGCGACGCACACGCCGCTCGCGACACCCCTCCAGCGCACGGGGAACACCTCGGACATCACGATCCAGGGGATGGGACCCCAGCCCAGCGAGAAGCCTGCAACAGGTGGGACACGGGGAGGCGGGGGGGCACACGGGGGGACACGGTGAGACAATGCAAGGGGACGCCGCATCCAAGGCATTTTGTCCTCGTGTATGGGGGATCTTTGTCCTTGTGTGTCCGTGTCTTTGTGTGTGTGCGTGTGTGTAAGCATCGCCATTGGGGAGACAAAGGCGGCCGGGCACGGTGCCAGCAACCCGTCACATTCGTGTGCCCCATTCCGGCCTTCATCAGGTGCCGCTCGCTAACGGCACTTGTCCCCCCGACGAGTCTGTTGAAAGGCCACGCGGGGGACCTTTGTCTTTGCGTGCGCCCGCACCTACGATGTAGACCAGCATGCTGGCGAGCGCCAGCCAGCCGAGCGAGCCCGTGCTCGCCCCCGCCATCACCAACCCATGGTCCGGGGCCCCGCCGGCGTACGGCAATGCAAGGTCCGTGGCGCCCAGCGTCCCGTTGCCGTCCGACCCCGTCAGCTTGAAGTAGGCCCCAAACGCCGCGGCGCTGCCGGCCATGATGACCCCTGGCGGCGGGGCGGGGTGGGGGGGAGAGGGGGTAAGGCGGGCGGGTGGGGGGGGGGGGAGAAATTAAACCCAAAAACGAAACTATTTCTATTATATATTGTTGGTTCTTTCGGTAAAGTCCCCACGTAGAAGGGAAACGATAAAATAATAAAAATATGAAACGATAAAATTCTCACGACGTTTCGACTGCAACACAAGCAGTCATCATCAGGTGTGAAAGCCACAGCAAGAATTTTTGTTTTATTATACCAGCTAAGACCCCAGTGAGCTGCTACGTAGCTCTTTTTCAGAAGCGACCTGGCTTTCACAAACGACCGCTGAACCAAGTGGCTTGTCGTCATCATCATCATCATCAAGTGGAAATGTACAACAGACAAATACTCAAAATACTATTTCAGCATTTTTTTTATTGTACCAGGTAAAGTCCCAGTGAGCTTCCATGTAGCTCTTTTTCAGAAGCGACCTGGCTTTCACAAACGATCGCTGAACCACGTGGCTTGTCATCATCACGTGGAAATTAATCGCGGCAGCCAAATACTCTAAACCATGACCTCATCTCCCGTCTCGAGCTCTGCGAAATCGTGACCGGCACGTGATGCCGCCTCCTCTCCTTTGCCGCCGTGCCAATTATTTCGTGTTCTTTACAACTTTACAGCCTTCGTAAATAACAGCAGCAGCAGCAGAGAGAGAGAGAAGCCTTCAATCTGTTTCCCTTTGTGTTAGCCACAAACACAGCACGATACACAAACCACGTGTGGGGAAAATGACTTCAACGCTCATAGTATGAGCAACGTTGCCAAAAGAACACCACTGTTCCCAACAATGAATGATATTCGTCTATAAACTATTTTTTTGTTACTTTACCAGTTAAGGCCCGCTAGCTATTTTTCAGAAGCGACCTGGCTATTACAAACGATAGCACAGCGAAGTGGCTTATCATCACGTGGAAATGTATAGCAGCCAAATGTTCTAAACGCGCGTTTCTAAATGTGGAGAAAAAGCAGAGGACCCGGAGAAAAATCCACGCAACCACAGGGAGAGAGAGATGCAAACTCCAAATATACAGCAGCAGCAGCAGGCGTCAGGGTCAGGATCGAACCCACGACCTCCTGTACACCAGGCGAGGTAGTTAACATCTCCTAGTCACCGTGATGATGTTGAGAGAGAGAGACACGCAAACTCCAAATATACAGCAGCAGCAGGCGTCAGGGTAAGGATCGAACCCACGACCTCCTGTATACCAGGCGAGGTAGTTAACATCTCCTAGTCACTGTGATGATGATGAGAGAAAGAGACACACAGACTCCAAATATACAGCAGGCATCAGGGTCGAGATCGAACCCACGACCTCCTGTATACCAGGCGAGGTAGTTAACATCTCCTAGCCACCGTGATGATGATGAGAGAGAGAGACACGCAGACTCCAAATATACAGCAGCAGGCATCAGGGTAAGGATCGAACCCACGACCTCCTGTATCCCAGGCGAGGTAGTTAACATCTCCTAGCCACCGTGGTGCCCAGTGCTATCGTTCTCACAGTTGCGTTGCCCGAAGGCCCCGCAACAGATCACAACTGTGGCAAATTTCGCCTGATCAGGCCAGTTGTTGTCGTCGTTGTTGTTGTCGTTGTAATCGCCCAGCGAGACGTCGCAGTAGACAAATTGTAAATGTTGTTGTGGGTTTTACTCTCCAACACAAGAGCGGCGAGTGCTGAAGTCGTTAAATAATTGACGCCTTTTGTTTACGTGACACAACCTTGCTAATTGGCTGTGTCGGGTGGTGGTGGGTTCACGACACGTTTATACGTGTGATCGGGTCATGCCCGCTGCGCGTGTTGTTCGGCGCGACGTCCGACGTTTCGCTTGCGCGTGCCGGAAGCATCGGCAGCTTCGTCACCCTCCCCACCACCACCCCGTTTCTCTCGCCAAGCAGGCCGGGCACAGGCCCCGAGGTGACGTCACTGAGTGGCGGGCGGCGGCTGTCGCTGTTTGTTGCTGCTGGGGCTGTCACGCAGACGCTGTAGTGCGAGTCGGCGGAGTGGGAGCGTGAGAGGGCGAGTGAGTGAAATCACGAGAGTGTGAGGAGTGAGAGAGTGAGGTGAGAGAGTGAGAGGGTGAGTGAGTGAGAGGGTGAGGTGAGAGAGTGAGAGAGTGAGTGAAATCACGAGAGAGTGAGGTGAGAGAGTGAGAGGGTGAGTGAGTGAAATCACGAGAGAGTGAGGTGAGTGAGTGAGAGGGTGAGTGAGTGAGTGAAATCACGAGAGTGTGAGGAATGAGATAGTGAGAGAGTGAGTGAGTGAGTGAAATCACGAGAGTGAGGTGAGAGAGTGAGAGGGTGAGTGAGTGAGTGAGTGAAATCACGAGAGAGTGAGGTGAGAGTGAGGTGAGAGAGTGAGAGAGTGAGTGAGTGAAATCACGAGAGAGAGTGAGGTGAGAGAGTGAGAGGGTGAGTGAGTGAGTGAGTGAAATCACGAGAGAGAGTGAGGTGAGAGAGTGAGAGGGTGAGTGAGTGAGTGAGTGAAATCACGAGAGAGAGTGAGGTGAGAGAGTGAGAGGGTGAGTGAGTGAGTGAAATCACGAGAGAGAGTGAGGTGAGAGAGTGAGAGGGTGAGTGAGTGAGTGAGTGAAATCACGAGAGAGAGTGAGGTGAGAGAGTGAGAGGGTGAGTGAGTGAGTGAGTGAAATCACGAGAGAGAGTGAGGTGAGAGAGTGAGAGGGTGAGTGAGTGAGTGAGTGAAATCACGAGAGAGAGTGAGGTGAGAGAGTGAGAGGGTGAGTGAGTGAGTGAGTGAAATCACGAGAGTGTGAGGAGTGAGAGAGTGAGAGGGTGAGTGAGTGAGAGGGCGAGTGAGTGAGTGAAATCACGAGAGTGAGGTGAGAGAGTGAGAGGGTGAGTGAGTGAGTGAAATCACGAGAGAGAGAGAGTGAGGTGAGAGAGTGAGAGGGTGAGTGAGTGAGTGAAATCACGAGAGAGAGTGAGGTGAGAGGGTGAGAGGGTGAGTGAGTGAGTGAAATCACGAGAGAGAGTGAGGTGAGAGAGTGAGAGGGTGAGTGAGTGAGTGAAATCACGAGAGAGTGAGGAGTGAGAGAGTGAGAGGGTGAGTGAGTGAGAGGGTGAGTGAGTGAGTGAAATCACGAGAGAGAGTGAGGTGAGAGAGTGAGAGGGTGAGTGAGTGAGTGAAATCACGAGAGAGAGTGAGGTGAGAGAGTGAGAGGGTGAGTGAGTGAGTGAGTGAAATCACGAGAGAGAGTGAGGTGAGAGAGTGAGAGGGTGAGTGAGTGAGAGGGCGAGTGAGTGAAATCACGAGAGAGACAGTGAGGTGAGAGATTGAGAGTGAGAGATTGAGAGAGTGAGTGAGTGAGTGAAATCACGAGAGTGAGAGATTGAGAGAGTGAGAGGGTGAGTGAGTGAAATCACGAGAGAGAGTGAGGTGAGAGAGTGAGAGGGTGAGTGAGTGAGAGGGCGAGTGAGTGAAATCACGAGAGAGAGTGAGGTGAGAGATTGAGAGTGAGAGACTGAGAGAGTGAGAGAGTGAATGAGTGAAATCACGAGAGTGAGAGATTGAGAGAGTGAGTGAGTGAGTGAAATCATGTGAGAGTAAGAGAGTGAGAGGGTGAGTGAGTGAAATCACGAGAGAGTAAGAGAGTGAGAGATTGAGAGAGTGAGAGGGTGAAATCACGAGAGAGTGAGGTGAGAGTGAGAGATTGAGAGAGTGAGAGGGTGAGTGAGTGAGTGAGTGAAATCACGAGAGAGAGTGAGAGGGTGAGTGAGTGAAATCACGAGAGAGAGTGAGGAGTGACGGAGTGAGAGGGTGAGTGAGTGAAATCACGAGAGAGAGTGAGGTGAGAGAGTGAGAGAGTGAGTGAGTGAAATCACGAGAGAGTGAGGTGAGAGTGAGAGATTGAGAGGGTGAGTGAGTGAAATCACGAGAGTGAGGTGAGAGTGAGAGATTGAGAGAGTGAGTGAGTGAAATCACGAGAGAGAGTGAGGTGAGAGATTGAGAGAGTGAGTGGGTGAGTGAGTGAGTGAGTGAAATCACGAGAGAGAGTGAGAGGGCGAGTGAGTGAAATCACGAGAGACAGTGAGGTGAGTGATTGAGAGAGTGAGAGGGTGGGTGAGTGAGTGAGTGAAATCACGAGAGAGAGTGAGGTGAGAGTGAGAGATGAGAGAGTGAGAGGGTGAGTGAGTGAAATCACGAGAGAGTGAGGAGTGAGAGAGTGAGAGGGTGAGAGTAAGAAAATGAGTGAGGAATGAGTGAGTGTGAGTAAGAGAGTGAGTGAGAGTGTTACTGGTAGGAACCTCCTGGTTACACCAGCCCACAGGGGATTATTGTGTCCGTCCGTCCGTCGTGCATCCAAAAATGGGAGGGTGGGGCTGGGTGGAGAGGGGATGGTGGGGAGGGGCTGGTCACCCCGTGGTGCCCTTATAAAACTCAACGTTTAACCTACTCACGCCGGCTTGTGCCCGCCCTCACAGTCGGGCATAATTGCGGAATACACCACGTGGTGCCGCCGTTGACGCTGGCCATTGACCGAGCAACCCAACGTTCCTACCAGCTCCCTCCGCAGGAATGTGAGTGAGAATGAGTGAGTGAGAGTGAGTAAGAGAGTGAGTGTGAGTAAGAGAGTGATTAAGAGAGTGAGAGTAAGAGAGCGAATGAGAGTGAGTGAGAGAGGGAGTGAGTGAATGAGAGTGAGTGAGAGAGAGAGTGTGAGTAAGAATGAGTGAGTGAGAGTGAGTGAGTGAGTAAGAGAGTGAGTGAGAATGAGTGAATGAATGAGAGTGAGTGAGAGTGAATGAGTGAGTGAATGAATGAGAGTGAATGAATGAGAGTGAGAATGAGTGAATGAATGAGAGTGAGTGAGAGTGAGTCAGAGTGAATGAGTGAGTGAATGAATGAGAGTGAATGAATGAGAGTGAGTGAGAATGAGTGAATGAATGAGAGCGAGTGAGAGTGAATGAATGAGTGAATGAATGATAGTGAATGAGAGTGAGTGAATGAATAAGAGTGAGAGAGAGTGAGTGAGAGTGAGTGAGTGAATGAGAGTAAGAGAGTGAGTGAGAGAGAGTGTGAGTAAGAGAGTGAGAGAGAGAGTGAGTGAATGAGAGTGAGTGAGAGAGTGTGAGTAAGAAAGTGAGTGAGAGAGAGTGAGTAAGAGAGTGAGTGAGTGAGTGAGAATGAGTGAATGAGAGTGAGTGAGAGAGAGAGTGTGAGTAAGAGAGTGATTAAGAGAGTGAGAGTAAGAGAGCGAATGAGAGTGAGTGAGAGAGTGAGTGAGAGAGAGTGAGTGAATGAGAGTGAGTGAGAGAGAGAGTGTGAGTAAGAGAGTGAGTGAATGAGAGTGAGTGAGAGAGAGAGTGTGAGTAAGAGAGTGAGTGAGAGTGAGTAAGAGAGTGAGTGAGAATGAGTGAATGAATGAGAGTGAATGAGTGAGTGAATGAATGAGAGTGAATGAATGAGAGTGAATGAATGAGAGTGAGAATGAGTGAATGAATGAGAGTGAGAGTGAGAATGAGTGAATGAATGAGAGTGAGTGAGAGTGAATGATTGAGTGAATGAATGAGAGTGAGTAAGAATGAATGAGAGTGAGTGAGAGAGAGTGTGAGTAAGAGAGTGAGTGAGAGTTAGTGAGTAAGAGAGTGAGTGAGAATGAGTGAATGAATGAGAGTGAATGAATGAGAGTGAGAGTGAATGAATGAGAGTGAATGAGAGTGAATGAATGAGAGTGAGTGAGAGTGAATGAATGAGTGAATGAATGAGAGTGAATGAATGAGAGTGAGTAAGAGAGCGAGACAGTGAGTCCCGGAGCGCCGGGGCTGGCGACGAACCAGAGAGGCAGAGGAGAAGCTTGCGGCCGGCACGGTCCATGAGGAACCCAGAGAAGAGCGTGACGCCAACCTGCACCGCGGCGATCATCACGGGCGCCTCCGCGCTGTTCTGCACACACGTTACACACGTACACACACGTACACACACGTTACACACGTACACACACGTAGCACAGACACACATACATACACACATGTAACACACGTGCACACACAAGTACACACGCACACGTTACACACATGTACACACGCACACACGCACACACACGCACGCACGCACACGCACGCACGCACACACACACACGCACACACACGTACGAACACGCACACGCACACACACGTTACACACGTCACTCGCCACCGATGTTTCGAACAGCGATTTTCTAATCCCGCACCTCCGACTAGCGCGGCTGGCTACGTACGGCGCGAGAGAAATTCAACACACAAGGACAACAGATCGCCCGTGTAGCCTGAAGAGACTTGTCGGGGCAGGCGCCGCTGGCGAGCGGCACCCATGGAGGCCGGCATGGCACACCAACGGGATGGGGTCGCTAGGCAACCACGTCCGGCCGCCACCGTCTCCCCACGCTTCACCAGGTGCTCATTTGAGGCCGAGTCGACCCGGGGGAGGCCCGGGACCGGTTCAGAGACGCCGAGCCGGAGCCGCTCGTCACAAACGACTTCGTCCGCGTTGTCGCCGCCGTTTTGTGTGCTCGTCAGCTCGCCCCACCTGGATGTGTGCCGCCCTGAAGATGGATTCGGCGTACAGCATCACCGCGTTGATCCCCGAGAACTGCTGCAGCGTCATCAGCAGCACGGTCACGGCCAGCGGCTTGTACAGGACGGGCAAGCGCAGCTCCCTCCAGCTCAGCTGCTCCTACACGGTGGAGGACATCATCATCAGCATCATAATCAGTATCGTCATCAGTAGCAAGGTCACAGCCAGCGGCTTGTACAGGACGGGCAAGCGCAGCTCCCTCCAGCTCAGCTGCTCCTACACGGTGGAGGACATCATCATCAGCATCATCATCAGCATGATCATCAGCATCATAATCAGTATCGTCATCAACAGCACGGTCACGGCCAGCGGCTTTGTACAGGACGGGCAAGCGCAGCTCCCTCCAGCTCAGCCGCTCCTACACGGTGGAGGACATCATCGGCATAATCGTCATCATCAGTATCGTCATCAACAGCACGGTCACAGCCAGCGGCTTGTACAGGATGGGCAAGCGCAGCTGCTTCCAGCTCAGCCGCTCCTACACGAAGGGGAGGGACATCATCAGTATCATCATCATCATCAGCAGCATCGTCGTCATCGTCATCATAAGCATCAGCATTGTCATCATAAGCATCGTCATCATTAGCATCATCAGTATTATTATCATAAGCATCATCAGCAGCATCGTCATCATAAGCATCATCGGCAGCATCGTCATCATAAGCATCATAAGCAGCATCGTCATCATAAGCATCACAAGCAGCATTATCATCATAAGCATCATCAGCATTATCATCATAAGCATCATCAGCAGAATCGTCATCATCGGCAGAATCGTCATCATAAGCATAATAAGCAGCATCGTCATCATAAGCATCATCAGCATTATCATCATAAGCATCATCAGCATCATCGGCAGAATCGTCATCATAAGCATCATCGGCAGAATCGTTAGCAGCATCGTCATTATAAGCATTATCAGCATCACCGTCATCATAAGCATTATCAGCATCATTGTCATAATAAGCATTATCAGCATCATCGTCAGCAAATTTGTGCAAGAGCGGCTCACTCTTGCAAATGAGACTCCTACCCTGGTTTCTGAACCTGGTCACACAAAATACACTTTCCACTTGAATGGTTCTGCACTGGATGGAGAAGGGGCAATGTTTATTATTACAGTGGCTAGGAGATGTTCACCACCTCGCCTGGTATACAGGAGGTCGTGGGTTCGATCCCGACCCTGACGCCTGCTGCTGTATATTTGAAGTTTGCGTGTCTCTCTCTCTCCCCCGTGGTCACGCAAATTTTTCTCCGGGTCCTCCGGTTTTGCCCTCCACGTTTAAAATCGACGTCACGCGTCTAGAATATTTGGCTGCTGTAAATTTCCACGTGATGATAAGCCACAATTCGCTGGGCTATCATTCGTGATAGCCCAGGGATCGCTTCGGAAAAATATCTACGTAGCTCAGTTAGTGGGGCCTTACCTGGTAAATTGTTTAGTTTGACTTCATATCATGATGATGACAGTCATGATAATCATGAGGATGGCAATAATTTCAATGATGACGTTGCTGATGACGACGATGAGTGTTCGTGGCGACGGTCGCTGTTCCCCCGTTGATCCCCACGTTCTCCGTTGCCCAGGGAGACCAACGGGATCTCATCTTAATGGAATTGATCACGCGCCTGAACCAAGCTGCTTTGCAAAATAATTAACAACGGTACTACAACAAGTGATCGCCACATAATGAGAATGTGAAGGGGGAACAGTAAAGGTGGTGGTGGTTAGGAGGCGGAGATTAAGGGGTGGGGGGGGTAGTGGGGTGAGCTAGAGGGGTAACAGTGAGTGAGTTGTGAGTTAGGAGCGAAAACTTAAGCGAGCGAAGTGGACCGCTTAATGTGGAGGGGGGAAGTTTGTTCCAGTGATGGGGGTGGTGGGGTGAGAAGAGAGAGAGACAGCGTGGGGTGAGTACGAGGAGGAGGAGGAGAGAGAGTGGATTGAGCACGAGGAGGAGGAGGAGAAGGAAGAAAGAGACCGGAATGATTGAGAAGGTAGAGGAACGAGATCAGAATCAGAATATTTATTTACACTGCAGGGAAAAATCCGATGAGCTATAAAGCTCTTTTCCACAGATGCCCAGCAGAAGGCGACACGTCGAAAGATCCCAAGAGTGGCGAGATACGGTGGGGCAAAGCCCACGACGGGATTTGTAGGCCAGGGTGATGAGGGGGAGGTTAACGACCTGCTGCTGCTGCTGCTGCTGCTGGCCTTGTCGGATGAGCCGAATCTCGGTGCGGACATCGACGGCGCTCCCCCGCAGTACCGTCAGCGCCGCCACGGCCTCCGCTCGGCGCCGGGGGCGGCTCAGCAGGAACCGCGGAGACTCCGGCACGACGGCCACGAGCAGCAGCAGCATCAGCGTGGGCGGCACGGCGCACAGCACGGCCAGCCAGCGCCAGCCCAGGATCAAGCCTCACCAGCGTAGCGGAGGAGGCGGGGGGGGGGGGCGGTGTACGTTGAAAAATTCTTTCGCGCCGTACGTAGCCAACCGTGCTAATCGGAGGTGCGGGGGATGGACAACAAACTAAACACAACAACAAGCAGAGACGATTTAAAAGTGCATTGCTCCCTCGAGTGGCTTCCTAATTGGAAGAGCGTTCCAGACGGCCGCAGGAGCGCATCTGAAAGCGTCGCGCGATGCGGTGACCACCGTCTCTGTTCGATGGTTTGGCCAAACGCCGCCGCTGCTGCTGCTGCGAGGATGACCGGAGTTCACGTGATGCTTCATGCTCCTCGGCGAGATCAGCGAGGTATTGTGCTTCTTTTGCGGCAAGCACTCTGTGTGTAACGTATTCGTTCGGTTACCGTGGCGAGTGTCACTGCACCGAGTATCACGGCGAGTCTGGCGGTGAGTACCGGTGGTACAGAGCGTCACGGTGAGCATCGCCGTGGCGAGCGTGCCACGACTCTCACCGGCGGCGTAGGCCGTGAAGATGCCCAGCACCACCATGAGCTGCATGCAGGAGCCGAGGGCTCCCCGCACCGCTGGGTGAGACACCTCCGAGATGTACACCTGGGGGGTGGGGTGGGGGGCGGGTGGGGGGTGGGGGGTTAGGGTGGGGGGCAGGGGGCGGCACCGTGCCCATGAGTGGGGGGGCGGGGGGCGCGCGTGAATCTGCATCTGAAATAATTACCGTAAAGCGGAAGGTCGGTGCTGCGTACTGCCCACAAAGACAAGGACGTTGCCTTTGTACGCAAACTCGCGCGTGGGGAGTGGTGGGTGGGGAGTGGTGGGGTGGGGGGGGGCACCGTGTCCACTCACGGGCACGACGAGCGACGCGGTGCCCCCCGCTAGCCCCGTGAGGGTGCGGCCCGCGTACAGCGACCCGGGGCTCTGCGCTGTCACCAGCAGCAGCCAGCCGGCCACGAACGGCACCGAGCTCAGCATCAGCGTCGGCTTCCTGCCCAGGCGCTCCACCAGCAGCCCCGCCAGCGGCCCCGCCAACACCGCGCCGATCGTCACCAGCGACTGGGAGACAAGAGGACGGGGCGTGGACGTCACGCGCGTCTACACGCGCGTCACTCACCGCCGATGTTTCCAATGCCGTTCTGAAATCCCGGGACCACCTCCGATTAGCGTGGTTGGCTGTGCACGGTGAGATACAAGTTCAACAGACATACTTACTAAAACAAAACAAAGAACCCCCACGTAGCCTCCAACAGACTGTTGGTGCAAGTGCTGTTGGCGTGTAGCAACTCCTAAGAAGGCCGGCAAGGCACTCGAGGGGGTGGGTGGCCAGCACCACACCCAGCCGCTTTTGTCTCCCCAGTGGCGATGTTCACACACCGTACCAGGTACTCGTTTGAGGCTGAGTCGACCGAGGGGAGGAGGCCCATGACCGGTTCAGACAATCGTCACTTGTGTTGGCCGTGAGCGGGAATCGAACTTGGGTCGCCGAGCTCATAGCACAGCGTGCTAACCGCTGCACCACCGCTCTGAGAGAGCCACCACTGTCACGTAACCATGCACACCCACAGCTATCACTCATCCACACTTAAAACTATTTTTTTTTACCATGTTAGGCTCTTTTTCGGAAGCAACCTGGCTATCACATATACAACTAACAAAGTGGCTTATCGTGTGGAAATTTATAGGAGCCAACGTGGAGGGCAAAAACCGGAGGACCCGGAGAAAAATCCACACTACCCCGAGGAGAGATAACACGCAAACTCTAAATACACAGCAGGCGTTATCAGGGTCGGGGTCGAACCCATGACCTCCTGCATACCAGGCGAGGATGTTAATATCTCCTAGCCACCGTGGTAATGATGATGAGAGAAAGAGAGACACACGCTATCTCCAAATTATACAGCAGGCGTCAGGGTCGGAATCGAACCCACGACCTCCTGTATACCAGGCGAGGTAGTTAACATCTGCTAGCCACCGCGGCTCCCACAGAGTGGCCACTCACCCCGAACCACGACACCTGCGCGGGGCTGAGCCTGAGCTGGGCCTGGGGGCTGCGCTCGAGGTCGGGGATGGCCGGGGAGCTGTAACCCAGCGTCAGTCCCAGGCTCAGCGGCCCCAGAGCCGTGCTCAGCACAGCCAAGTACAGGCGCCCGTTCTGCACCTTGCTGCGGTTGGGAAAGATGCGAGGGGGAAGGGGAGGGGAGGGGGAAGAAGGAAATGGGAGGAGAGAGGAGGGGAGAGAGGGGATGATGGGGTAGGGGAGGGGGGGAGCAGGTGACCAGACAAAAGAACCAGAACTGAAGGAGTGCACCGTGGAACTCCTTCCTGACGTTTTTTTCTTTCAAATCATGCACCGGTGTGCTATTTACGTGGTTCCGTGCAAAGTTGTTTGAAACTCACGTTTTTTTTTCCGACCGGCACTATTATTCTGTAAGCCTTGTTTTTTTTTCCTCTCTTTCTCTCTCGTCACGTACAGAATTTGAGAGTGCACGTGACTTCCTTTGTTGAGCGGTGCTTTTGGGCCGAGGTCAGCAGGTTCGTCGCAGCCAACACAACAGCGATTATCAGTAGCGTAACGAGCTAAAAAAAAACCGAGGGCCTTGAGAAAAATCCACGTGACCACGGGAAGAGAGAGACATGGAAACTCCAAATATACAGCAGGTGTGTAGTTGCAGTTTGCATGACCTCCTTTATACCAGGCGAGGTAGTTAACATCTCCTAGCCACGGCGTGTCAAGGTCGGGATCGAACCCCCTGTTTATCAGGCGAGGGAGATAACATCTCGTGTCAGGGTCAGGAGCAAACCCACGACCTCCTATTTATCAGGCGAGGGAGAAAACGTGTCCTAGCCACCGAGATTTGTTTTAAAAAACTGTGTAAAAAGAGCAAGAAACTAATTTCAAACGCGGTTTAAGTTGTATTTTTTTTATAAAATGCTTTCATTTAAGTTCCACGTTTTTATTATTTAACTAGAGCAAATTGTGCAAATCAAATATTGGGGAGGGGGGGGAGCCCACCTGACCGATTGCCGCATCCCTTGAGCTGCTTTAAATGTCAACTCTGCGCTATACTTAGCTAATTCATGAACCCCATTGTCAAATCCAGGAAACCTAAGGCGTCCATCTAATTGCCTTTCAACAAGAATTGGAATTGGTGACAAAGCCATGGCTGCTTTTTCCCTCTCTCTCGCCACTCCAGTGCCCGTGGTCTCGGTAACCCACTGGACATCTGTGAAACTACTGGACACCTGTGAAAAAGTGCTTCATAGATCATCGGATTCCTCCAGTATGAATATATATTCTGATTCTAAACCTGCCCTCCCTCCACCCTGCACACCACTCGTCCCACCCATCACTACCTCTTCCTCCTCTCCTATTCCCAACTTCAAAATAGCTGTTGAAAAAGCTCGTTTGTCGTATTGGCACTGCAGAGTATCGTACACCGGCAGTGAAGTGTCGTATTTTACAACTGCTTTTTGTGTTTGGTTTGCTGTCCTTCTCCCGCACCTCCAATGATGACGGTTAGCTATGTACGGCACGAAAGAAGTTCAACTTGCATATACCTACCCTACTCAACTGCTCGGCAACTCAACTCTCAGCCGCTTGCCTACCCGCTCCACTCAATCGTTCATTCACTCACTTACCTACTCGCCTGCGAAATAAGTTCAACACACATACGTATGCGTTGTGTGCGCATGCGACGTCGCACCTGTAGTATTGCTCCACCACGTGCGGATCCAACTCTCCTTCTCCCTCATCCTCCTCTTCGTCACCTCCTCGCTCTTCCAGCGGCCCGCCACTGCCACCAGCACGTGAGCCCAGAAGCGGCTCTTTCATGGAGTCGCTCGCTTCTCCTCCTGCTGCTCCGATGATTCCACTCTTCCCCTCCATCTCTCGTCTCCCTCCCTCCCTCCCACACCGACAAACTAAACCACAAACACATGGTGGCTCAGAGTTCAGACAGCTGAGCTGGCATCGCTGGGATCATGTGTTCGAAAACAAGTGTAGCAGAGTTGGGTCACCAATTGCTGCGTACAAATATAAAAACATCAGCCATTAACAATCCATACTCTTTGGTTCTTTCGGTAAAGTCACGTAGAAAAATAATAATAGATCGCGACGTTTCGATTACCGAAAGGACCAAAGAGTATGGATTCCTGCAGTCACGAAAGCTTCAAATCAAGATTGTTATCAACCCACTGCTGAAGGCATCCCTCCGATTCGCCCCCACACCTCCGATTAGCACGATTGGCTACATATGGTGCGAAAGAAGTGCAACATACATACTGCCCATAGACTCAACACTGCCCAAAGACTCAACACTGCCCATAGACTAACACTGCCCATAGACTAACACTGCCCATAGACTCAACACTGCCCACAGACTCAATACTGCCCATAGAACTAACACTGCCCATAGACTCAACACTGCCCATAGACTAACACTGCCCATAGACTAACACTGCCCATAGACTAACACTGCCCATAGACTAACACTGCCCATAGACTAACACTGCCCATAGACTAACACTGCCCACAGACTCAATACTGCCCATAGAACTAACACTGTCCATAGACTAACACTGCCCATAGACTAACACTGCCCATAGACTCAACACTGCCCATAGACTCAACACTGCCCATAGACTCAACACTGCCCATAGACTAACACTGCCCATAGACTCAACACTGCCCATAGACTCAACACTGCCCATAGACTCAACACTGCCCATAGACTCAACACTGCCCACAGACTCAACACTGCCCACAGACTCAACACTGCCCATAGACTCAACACTGCCCATAGACTCAACACTGCCCATAGACCAACACTGCCCATAGACTAACACTGCCCATAGAACTAACACTGCCCAAAGACTCAACACTGCCCATAGACTAACACTGCCCATAGACTAACACTGCCCATAGACTCAACACTGCCCAGACTCAATACTGCCCATAGAACTAACACTGCCCAAAGACTCAACACTGCACCTTCGATTAGCACGGTTGGCTACGTACGGTGCAAAATAAGTTAAACATAGCGTACATACATAAAATAAACACTGTCGGATATTTTTTTACATAACAATAGTTTTTTAAGAGTGAACTATATATTTAAACTGGTTACAAACGATAGCTCAACGAAGTGGCGTATCATCATCACGTGGAAAGTTATTGCAGCCAAATACTCTAAACACGTGATGTTGATTATAAATGTGGAGGGGAAAACCGGAGGGCCCGGAGAATTAGTCCCCGTGACCACGAGGAGAGAGAGAGACACCGCAAACTCCAAATATACAGCAGCAGCAGGCGTCATGGTCGGGATCGAACCCACAACCTCCTGCACACTAGGCGAGGTAGTTAACATCTAGCCACCGTGATGATGATGATGAGAGAGAGACACGCAAACTCCAAATATACAGCAGCAGCAGGCGTCAGGGTCGGGATCGAACCACGACCTCCTGCACACCAGGCGAGGTAGTTAACATCTCCTAGCCACCGTGATGATGATGATGAGAGACAGACAAGCAAACTCCAAATATACAGCAGCAGGTGTCAGGGTCGGGATCGAACCCACGACCTCATGTACACCAGGCGAGGTAGTTAACATCTCCTAGCCACCGTGATGATGATGAGAGAGAGACACCGCAAACTCCAAATATACAGCAGCAGGCGTCAGGGTTGGGATCGAACCCACGACCTCCTGTATACCAAGCGAGGTAGTCAACATCTCCTAGCCACCGTGATGATGATTATGATGAGAGACGCAAACTCCAAATATACAGCAGCAGGCGTCAGGGTTGGGATCGAACCCACGACCTCCTGTATACCAAGCGAGGTAGTCAACATCTCCTAGCCACCGTGATGATGATTATGATGAGAGACGCAAACTCCAAATATACAGCAGCAGGCGTCAGGGTCGGGATCGAACCCACGACCTCCTGTACACCAAGCGAGGTAGTCAACATCTCCTAGCCACCGTGATGATGATGAGAGAGACACCGCAAACTCCAAATATACAGCAGCAGGCGTCAGGGTCGGGATCGAACCCACGACCTCCTGTACACCAGGCGAGGTAGTCAACACCTCCTAGCCACCGTGATGATGATGATGATGAGAAAGATACACACAAACTCCAAATATACAGCAGCAGGCGTCAGGGTCGGGATCGAACCCACGACCTCCTGTACACCAGGCGAGGTAGTCAACATCTCCTAGCCACCATGATGATGATGATGATGAGAAAGATACACACAAACTCCAAATATACAGCAGCAGCAGGCATCAGGGTCGGGATCGAACCCACGACCTCCTGTATACCAGGCGAGGTAGTTAACATCTCGTCAACGCGGCGAAGTGGAGTGTTTGGCGTCGTGGTGATCACACCGGACTATCAATCCAGCCTACCTGAGTTCGATTCCCCGGACGAGGCTAATATCGGTGGTATAAGAATCGGTCCATAAACCCGCATCGACCAGTGCGGTGAAGTATGGTCAAACATCCAGAGAAGGCGTAGTAGGGACTCCTTCATATAGCAGTGGGTGACAACGTTGGGCTGTTATGATCAATTAAGTAATTTTAATAGCCCTTAAAACAATGATCACAACGTATTGATTGTGTCAATTTTTAAAGAGTTAAATAAAATATCTGCTTAAAAACCCACAGGCGAACAGTACTCGTATGTGTAGGCAGCACTGTTGCCGGTAGTATACATTCCACGTTACTATGACGGAGGCCAGGACATCCTTACCTTTTGACGGATAAAGTCCAGGATGACGATAATATAAATTAAAGCGTCTCGGTGGAAATTCCACGTTTCCGTGACGGAAGCCAGCCTCTCCACAGCACGAGCGCGATTGACTTCCCGCAACGGTAGGTGCCACACCGACGCTTTGCTTCTTTCGGTGAAGTCACGCAGGTAGAGATAAAACGAATCACGACGTTTCGATCGCAACACAAGGGATCTCCATCAGGTGGAACAACCACAGCAAGAAAATACCGAAGTAGGCGAGAGAGCTGACCGTGGCAAGAGGTTATATAGGTACGAGAAAGGGGGGGGGAGAGACTTTACCGAAAGAACCAGAGTATGGATTTGTGCAGTCACGAAAACTTCAAGTTTTGGTACCATACCAGTCAACCCCTTATCAGTGCCCTACCTTATCACAGACCAATTCAGAACTTATTTGGTCACCCCGTGCCCCTTTAAAAAGCTCAACGTTCACCCCACAAAGTCCCATCACAAGGGGAAAAACACGAACAAATAAGACACATTGTGTCTGTTTCACTGTACAAGAACACCGAGTAAACCGTAGTGGGTTGACGAGGTATTTTACACTATGGATTATGACGAATGAAGAGGAAAATAAGGCAGCCGACAGCCAGTCGAAGCGCCAGAGTGGAAATTCCACATTCCCGTGGCCGGTTCCGGCTGCCCACCCAACCACAAACTGTCATTGACGACCCTCACGAAATTCGCCGGGACGCCACCCCCCCCACGACACCCCTCCGAACCAAGCGGCGAGCGCCTCTCGCGGGCAGGGCGCGTCAGGCAAGGCCGAGGGCTTACCGAGGCCCTCACGAAATCGGCCTTGGCAGCATCGGAGGCTGCGACGCGCGCGAGTCGCTGCAGAGCGGCGAACTTGACGCGACCCTCCCCCCCTTTTGAGGCAGGAGGAGCCCCGAAAACAATAAAATATTTAACTTTATTTTCTTATCGTCTGAGGCGGAGTCGGTTAACAACACCGCTTCGAAACTCCAGGGGAGGGCGGACGTAAACAAATTAGCCGCCTCGTGCGTGATTACGTCATCGCGTAGGGGCCCATGCGTACGTGATTACGTCACTGTGCGGGTGGCCCCTGCGTGCGTGATTATGTCACCGTCCGGGTGGTTGCTGCGTGCGTGATTACGTCACCGCGCGGGTGGCCCCTGCGTGCGTGAATGTCACCGCGCGGGTGGTTGCTGCGTGCGTGATTAAGGCACCGCCCGGGTGGCCCCTGCCTGCGTGATTACGTCACCGCCCGGGTGGCCCCCGCGTGCGTGATTACGTCACCGCGCGGGTTGCACAGGCGACGTGCCACAACTTCGCGGGCAGTTTCAAAAGTGACGGCAATTTGTGGGTGGTGTGTGGGTGGTGTGTGGGTGGTGTGTGTGTGTGGTGTGTGTGTGTGGTGTGTGTGTGGGTGGTGTGTGGGTGGTGTGTGTGGGTGTGTAGGTGGTGTGTGGGTGTGTAGGTGGTTTGTGGGTGGTGTGTGGGTGGTGTGTGTGGTGTGTGTGTGGGTGGTGTGTGTGTGGGTGTGTGGGTGGTGGTGTGTGGGTGGTGTGTGGGTGGGTGGTGTGTGGGTGGTGTGTGGGTGGTGTGTGGGTGGTGTGTGGGTGGGTGGTGTGTGGGTGGGGTGTGTGTGGGTGGTGTGTGGGTAGTGTGTGGGTGGTGTGTGTGTGTGGTGTGTGGGCGGTGTGTGGGTGGTGTGTGTGGGTGGTATGTGTCTGTGGCGTGTGGGTGGTGTGTCTGTGGGTGGTGTGTGGGTAGTGTGTGGGTGGTGTGTGGTGTGTGGGCGGTGAGTCGGTGGGGTGTGGGTGGTGTGTGGGTGGTGTGTGGGTGGGTGGTGTGTGGGTGGTGTGTGGGTGGGTGGTGTGTGGGTGGTGTGTGGGTGGGTGGTGTGTGGGTGGTGTGGGGGTGGGTGGTGTGTGGGTGGTGTGTGTGGGTGGTGTGTGGGTGGTGTGGTGTGTGGGTGGGTGGTGTGTGGGTGGTGTCGGCAGGACGCAGCACAACTCGCGAGTCCGGCGGGTGACCAATGGGGAATTCGTTTACATTTATTGTGGATGTTGAACTTCTTTCGCACCCTACGTAGCCAACCGCGCTAATCGAAGGTGCAGTGTTGAGTCTGTGGCTAGTGTTGAGTCTATGGGTAGTGTTGAGTCTATGGGCAGTGTTGAGTCTATGGGTAGTGTTGAGTCTATGGGTAGTGTTGAGTCTATGGGCAGTGTTGAATCTATGAGCAGTGTTGAGTCTATGGGCAGTGTTGAGTCTATGGGTAGTGTTGAGTCTATGGGTAGTGTTGAGTCTATGGGCAGTGTTGAGTCTATGAGCAGTGTTGAGTCTATGGGTAGTGTTGAGTCTATGGGCAGTGTTGAATCTATGAGCAGTGTTGAGTCTATGGGCAGTGTTGAGTCTATGGGTAGTGTTGAGTCAATGGGTGGTGGTGTAATACCAATCGCATTTACACTGACCTCTGCTGCTGTAACTGCTAATGCGAAACGAATTCTTTTCAAAACTAGCTTAGCTCTTATCTCAGAAAAAATCAGACTTATACGCACCGAACTAGATCAGTTAGACAAGACACTCTACAAATCACACTTATCATTGACGGCAACAATGTCCACATCGGATTGGGAACATGTAGACAATATGACTGCTTCTTCAGCTGCTACTATGTCGACCAAATGTAAGGACAACCTGATTTCCAAATTTAACCTCCTCTTCAACAAAAGACCGGACCCACACACCAAAAAGTTAAACGTTAACAAAGTCGTAATTAATCGCAGTAACAGTTCTATTTCCGATGCTCTAAAATCTGTTTTAGCTAAAGGTCTAAACTTTGCAGTCACACCTAAACACATACCAGTTAATGATATAATTGCCCAAGTAGACGTTGCTCTCAGGGGCCTGGGTCGCATCGCTGCAGACGTAGCAATATCTGAAATCGCTGCAACCCTCAAAAACGCTAAGATGCCAGCTAGCAACCTCAGCAAAGATGAGCGTTTTGAATTATATAAATAAAAAAGAGGGATGACATTGTAGTCCTCTCAGTTGACAAGGGCAATGCGACTGTCATCATGGATAAAATAGAATACAACAACAAAATTAAAGAATTACTCGACGATGGTAGTTATAGAAAAATAAACAGAGATCCCACCAACAGCCTCGTCACACAAACAAACAAAATAATTTCTGATTCAACCGCATTAATTGATCAATCTAAACAGTTTTCGTTGAAACCTTCTGCTGCCAGGCCACCAAGATTATACGGCTTACCAAAAATACATAAAGTAGATACACCCCTTCGTCCCATCGTCTCTACTATCAACTCCCCCACCTACAAACTGGCTCGTTTTTTGTCTGAAATCCTGCGTCCTTTTACTGGAAAAACCACCTCTGCGGTACAAAATTTGACTCACCTGGTATCGACAATCAAGGGTATTTCCTGTCCCCAGACGACCTGCTTGTCAGTTTTGATGTAGTTTCCTTATTCACCAAGGTTCCTGTACCTGACACCATTGCAATCATTGAAGACTTGGTTCATCAAGGACTAAACACTGAGGTACCCCCCTGGTGAGACACTGTTTAACCAATACATACTTCACTTGGAATATAACTTTCTACAAACAAACTGAGGGCACCCCAATGGGCTCCCCCCTATCTCTGGTTATAGCTAACATTTTCACGGAGAAATTTGAGACTGACGCCATCCAGACTGCCACTCTGCGCTCAACCTTATGGAAGAGGTACGTGGATGACACTTTTGTCATCTGGCCACATGGCCAGCCTGCTCTAGACCAATTCTTCGACCACATCAATTCTATACACCCAGCCATCAGATTTACCATGGAAGTTGAAAAAGATGGCAAGCTACCTTTTTTGGATGTCCAAATAAAAAAGAGACCTGATGGTTCAATGAGCCACTCTGTCTACAGGAAAGCTACCCATACGGATGCTTATCTGAAACCGGATTCCCACCACCATCCATCACAGAAGAATTCTCTCATCAAGACTCTGTACCATAGAGCCCAATGCATTTCCGACCAGGAACACATAGGCAGTGAACTCAAGCACGTACACCAAGCTCTTAAGGCTAATGGTTACTCCGACTATACAATCCGCAAAGCTATCACTCAAACCATGAAGAAGGACCCTCTTGAGGAGCCTTTCAAAACCATCACTTTACCCTACATTGCTGGGATCACAAAAAAGATCTCCAAAATCTTGAATAAACACAAGATCCAGGTCCGTTTCAACACATTACATAAAATCCGTGATCTGGTTCAGTCTGTAAAACATGTGATTCCGGACATACAGTACTCTGGTGTCTACAAACTAAATTGCCTCTGTGGTAGTAGCTACATTGGAGAAACCAAACGCCATGTCTCGGACCGCATTCGTGAACACAAAGTAGACCTTAAACACGGTAGGACCAACACCTCGGCCATGGCAGATCATTATTATAATTCAGTAGGCTCACATGACATTGACTTCTCCAAGACAGAGGTTCTTTGTAAGCCATCGGGCTCCCATGAGAGATTCGTTCATGAGGCTATCCACATATACAAGCACAGAGACAATTTCAACCTAGAAGATGGATTCTGGCTTAGCAATCATTGGAAAGATTTGATTAACCATTTCAGGTCTTAATTGATTGTTCACGCTTACAGTGGCTTTCAGACAGCATACATTAATTTTTCGTCTCCCCCCTCCTCTTTTCAGAACATATATGGACTCGTCCTTCTAAATAAACTGCCAAATCGCTGCGCGTGGCGCTGACGTTTTTTAAATAAATAAATACACAGTTTGAAAATAAATAAATTAATGCGAACCGACACACCTGATGACGACCGTTTGTGTTATGGTCGAAACGTCGTGAGAATTGTTATTGTTTTATATATTTTATTATTTATTGTTTCCCTTCAACGTGACTTTACCGAAAGAGCTAAGAACATATATGGGCAGTGTTAAGTCTGTGGTTAGTGTTGAGTCTGTGGGTGGCGTTGAGTCTATGGGCGGCGTTGAGTCTATGGGCAGTGTCGAGTCTATGGGCAGTGTTAGTCTATGGGTAGTGTTGAGTCTATGGGCAGTGTTGAGTCTATGGGCAGTGTTGAGTTTATGGGCAGTGTTGAGTCTATGGGCAGTGTTGAGTCTATGGGTAGTGTTGAGTCTATGGTGCAGTGTTGAGTCTATGGGCAGTGTTGAGTCTATGGTGCAGTGTTGAGTCTATGGGCAGTGTTGAGTCTATGGGCAGTGTTAGTCTATGGGCAGTGTTGAGTCTATGGGCAGTGTCGAGTCTATGGGCAGTGTTAGTCTATGGGCAGTGTTGAGTCTATGGGCAGTGTTGAGTCTATGGGTAGTGTTGAGTCTATGGGCAGTGTTGAGTCTATGGTGCAGTGTTGAGTCTATGGGCAGTGTTGAGTCTATAGGCAGTATGTACGTTGAACCTCTTTCGCACCGTACGTAGCCAACCGCGCTAATTGGAGTTGCGAGGAAAGGACAACCAACTAAAAACACAAAAATCAGTTCTAAATAAATGAGTTTTCAATTTAGATTTTAAACTGCATAGCTCCCAGTGCCTTCCTAATATCTGAAGAGCATTCCAGACGGCCGCAGAAGCGCATCTGAAAACTCGCGACTATGAAAGACTCGCTAATCCAGAACTCGCGGATGGCGAGGGTTTCCCGATGAATATTGCTCCTTACTGACGAACGGTGTTAAAATCGCTGTTGCCACGTGTCTCAAACACGCATGGATGTTCCTTCGGATCGGATCACGGTGAATGAGCCACCCCGAGAGTGAAGTGGTGAGCAACACAGAGACAAAGATCCCCCGTATAGCCTTAACAGACTAGTTAGGGGCAAGTGCTGTTAGCGAATACCTATGAAAGCCGGCACGGCACACGAGGGGGTGGGTGGCCAACACCACGCCCGGCCACCTTTGTCTCCCTAGCGGCGATGTTAACACATCGCACCATGTACTCATTTGAGGCTGAGTCGACCTAGGGGAGGCCCGGGACCGGTTCAGATAATCGTCACTAAATGTTGGGCGTGAGCG